ATGCGGATGGGCTATGGGGATGTCGCGACGTCGCGGATGCCTATGCAGATGGCTATGTCTCGCTTACAGTGTTGACAGCTCCGCTGACATCGCAAGCCATAAACATGGATACCCCAGGGCGAGAGTTTGGGACTGGTACTCGGTCCGGGCTTGTGTTTGCCTTCGGGCGTAAAACCGCAAAATTTAATTCCCTTATCAAAAAGTGACAAGCGTGCGTAGTTAATGCAATTTTGCAGCGCATTTAACATGACGTGACTGCCTCTGAAGAAAAACGGAACGGAAGAAAAAGCTGATGAAAACCAATGGATGCAGAAGCAAATGGAATAATGCAGACAGACCCTTTGGTCAGGGTACGGGTACAGGAAGTTGTTTACGCGAAGGCTTCCATTTCTTTCGTTGCTGGAACTCTGTTTGTGTTCTGTTTGCTACGTGGAAAACCCACTTTTGGGGCAAATTACAATGCCGCTGATTGCATTCCCTGTCGTAGTCCGTAGCACTGAGGCTCGTCTACATATCTCCTAATTCAAAGCGCCTTCGGCTCATTCACATTTTGCCACGCGTTATTCACACTTTACGCCTAGATTTGGAGCGCCATGGAGATGCTTTAACTGCTTTGCATAGTTGTGTGCCCAGCCCGGCCCAGCCACAACGTATAGGAACCCTGGACTCCGTAGTCCTTAGTCCGTAGTCCTTGGTTCTTCGTGGTCCGCCGTTGTTGCTGTTTTTTGTTTCGTTTGGTAGTTTTGCATTCATTGCGAGCGAGATAAAAATAATGAACATTGCAAAGGCAAAAGTCGGAAAGCGAAAGAAAAAACAAAAAAAAAACAAAAATAACACCAACTCCACGGAGCTTCCCCTCTCTGTCTCTCCCCCCACCACTCTCTGCCACTCACTGTGTCTGTGCGTGCAACGGTTCTGCTGCGATTCAGCCAAGTTTTTGTTGGCGTGGATTTATGTGTACAAATACATACATATGTACATCCGTGCATACATATGTACATATATGCATGGGTGTTGCCTTCTTCTTTGAGTGAGAAATGGGCGTAACTCTTGGATTTGCCTGGGATGCAAATTGCTTGTAAGTTCAACTCGTATTTTGCATTGTGCCTCACTTCCGACAGTTAAATTAAAGCCATTGTCTGACGCGGTCCGACTTGGTCCGACTTGGTCCGAGTGTTTGGCCCAGTGGGTGGCGGATCAGAGTGTGTGGCCGTTAGTTAGTTAGTTTTGTGCGCCTAATGTAACAATTGCCAAGGTGTTTTTTTTTTCCGTAGCAACAACAGCTGCAGGAGCAGGAAGTTCGAGAAACAGGAACCCACCCATAGACGTGAAATACGACAGCGAAAAACAATTTGTTTGCAGCCCCAAAAAGTGTTCCGTAAATCTTATTGCCAAGATTACCGGCCCCCTAATGGCATTAACAACATTTAGCTATAGTTTCTGGGTTTGTTTAAAGGCTTTGGTTGCGGGTTTTGGTTTGTGGCTCTGTAGTTGGGCCCCTTTAGCTGCGCTTTTAATTAGTCAAGCGAGCGTCGAAAGCAAGAATCCTTATCGAATGGGTATGGGTAGCTCTCTACATTACTTCGGGGAAATGGAGTGGGCTATTAGTAGGTAGTACATTCCTTTAATAACTATTTGTATCTATGCTTTCCCCGAGCCACATTCTCAAAGCAACCACTCAATGCACAAAGCACAAAGAAACTGTTAAAAATCGCATTCATTACGCCACTCTGTGGCAGTGGCACGCAAAAGTACGAGAGGCCACCGGAACCACTAGCACCCAGCCGAGCACCACAGACAGACACCACAATGACACACAGAAAGTGTTGAGCTGTAAATGAGGGAACAATGTGGCCAAAAGCGGGGCAGAAGAACACAACAAAAACAAAGAGTTGGAAAGAAAAAGAAAAATGCCAAGTGGAAATGCTACGAGTGCAGGCCATGCGTGGCAGACAAACAAACAAACTCGGGGGAAAATGCAAAACGGATGTGTAAATAATTTAGACGAGTTGGCAGTTCTCCGCACACAAAGAGTATCTGCCTCATATGCCACTGTGTGTGTGTGTGTGTGTATCTTTCTAGTTTATGTATCATTAAAAAATACTTACAGCAAAACAAAGAGCGAGTGAGAGAAGAAACAGGAACAGCGCAATGGGGAAGCATAATGAGAGCCAGGGAAAGGCAGCGGCAGCGGCAGTGGAAAAGCGGAAAATGTGCCATTTGCCAAATGCAAGGCAAACAGACGGAGCAGGCGGGAGGGGCGGTTGTTGGTTCGGGTCCCGGAACGTGCGAGAAATGCAATAATTATATGCATACAAAGATACGACCACACACACACACACACATACTTTTTGACATGCTGCAAATTAAACAGAAGCAAACGAGAGTGGAAACGGAAGGAAGGAAGGAGGGAGGGATGTGGGCAGGAACACAGTGAGAAAGAGAAAGAAGTAAATTACTTTTTTTCTGCAGCAAGCTGCATACAATCAAATGCAACGGGATTAAAAACCAACGTGTAACGGTAACAGAATCGGCAAACGATAGAACATACACTGAGCGAAATTTAGCAATAGTCTATTTTGGGAATTAAGAAGAAAATTAATTAAATTTTAACTGATTTAAATCGATCTAAATTCTTCATAAATGATTAATTTCTCTTCGTTTATAATTCCTGTAAACTCCAGTAATTAAATTAAAATAATTGTCGGTAGAACTAAAGAGGAAGCGAGAATATTATACACTGATAGAAAAAAGGCATAGTAAAAATAACTACAATCATATTTGAATTTAAAATGCGATTTTTAAATACAAACATAGTAAAATTAAATAGAATTCACTTTGATTCAAATATAATTGTATTAAAATGGCTTTTTTAATACGGTCATATTTAATTTTAATACAAAACACTTTAAAATGAATATAATATATTAAATTTGTAGTTTAATATGTTTCATATTTAAATTGAATATTATTATGATTGATTTCAAAATTTTTGTTTTAAAATCAAATGGAAAACTTTTTATTTTAAATATTCCATATTAAATTAAATTATATATTTTTTGTATTTATGTATTTTAAATATGTTTATATTATTTTTTTATGTCCCTCGAATTCCCAACTGGTTCACGCTGCTGCAGCCTTGAATACACACTTTAAATTAACTTTGCGCAGGGCCATAATGCAGTTCTATTCATGTTGCGATTATTTCTAGTTGCAAACTTTAACTTGGTGAATTTCACACCATGAGGACTTGAAATGTAGTCCGCGTAGGCAAAATAATAATCGATTAATTTAAAAATGAAATATACTCAATATAAATATGAAACAAATTAAATTTAAGCATAAAATATTTTTAAATTAAATAAGAAACACATTAGATTTAAATATTAAACATATTCAATTTAAATATGAAACATATTAAATTTAAATATGAAATATATTAAATTTAAATATAAAATATATTAAATTTAAATATAAAATATATTCAACTTTAATTCAACAAATTTAAATATTTTCATTTTAATATCAAAGTTTAAGTGAAAAATATTCAATTTTAATACAACCACTCTTGGATGAAAATCAATGGCATAAATATTAAAATCTAAGTGAAAATATTAAAATTTGAGGGCTTTTTTCTATCGGTGTATATATATATATATATATATCCCAACAAAAATTTTCATTTAATATTATAGGTCTTCATTTGTAGCTCTAAATTTGTATTGAGATCGAATTGCCAAAATAGTTCGTTAGATAGCGGCAGCAGTTTCCCCCAGTGCCGTAGTCCCAGTCACCCAGTCTCTGGGAATTGTCAGTCTGGTAGCAGGTGTAGAGTGGATTGGGTTGCAGTTGCACCTGGTAAACCTCCAGCGGCATTTGCATACCCGATGCTAAAACAAAAAAAAACTATGTTAATGTGTGAGCTATATGGAATTGAGGCAAATTTAAAAGCAAGGCATGCCACAGACAAGCTCGAATCCGCCTTCGGGACAAACCGCAGACATTGAAAGTGTCGCAGGAGCAGCAGCAGCCCCGTCTGTCTGACTCTCTCTCACTCTATAAATCTCTCCGGATGTGTTGTTAACTGCCTCCGGGATAGCTGGAATCTGTTTCAACCCACCTTTTTCTAGGACTCCGAATAGACAGCCAGACGAAGCGGGTAGACGGGGCTAACCAGGGAGCGCCTCAATTTGCACGCTTCGTTATTCAATTAGACACTTGGCACACACACAGCCAGACACAGCCACACACATACCAGAGATAACCTCCGACAACACGGATACTCGTAATTTTGATTGATGGCCCAATAATGGCGGTGATTTATCATATTTGCATGCTAACATTTAAGCCCTAGCTCTCGACTCTCTCTCTCTCTCTCTCTCTCTGCCACACGGTGGAAAATTGGCTGGATAATATAATTAAATTTTGCCCTTTCCAATCGTTGGAATTTTTATAAATAAAGTTGCCGTAAAAGCATTGAGATCTGTATAAATTCATGACTATAGATGAATCAAATATTTAATCTTCGGTAGCAATTCTATCATTTTTGATTTAGCTGAGAATCTCTTACTACGTTTTCAAATAGGAATCGGAAAACCAAGAGCATATTCTAATGCATTAGCACGTAACCCCTGTTGAATTTATAAATCACCGATTTACAGAGATTCTGCCTTTTCCCGGAGGCGATTATCTCATTGAGGCCTACAGGTATCGCTTGGGATCTTTATTCGCGGTGGGCAAAATATATTTCACCATTTCTTAAATATAAGCAAGGGAATAAATTAATAATGAATTTCATAAATAATAATTACAAACTTAAGCTAATTAATGCCAAATGTGTTTCTAAACGATTTCATAAAAATGGAAAACAAATTATTGTTACAAATCTATTTTAAAGTGTTTGAATGAAAATATATTTTAATTACAAGAGGTGATGTATTAAAAGTCCAATGCAAACTTGATTGGAGCTGCAGTCTTCGTTGGTGCGTCGAATTAACAGGATGGCCCATAAGATGAGTTCTCTGGTGCGGATAGTTTTGATCCTACATTTATTTGCGGAAGTATGCTATAACTACAATAATATTTAAGAGTCAAATGAAAACGATGCAACCTTCTAGATCCATTCCCGGGTTGAGTTTACGAACATCAAGTGCAAATCGGTGGATAATAAATTCGGGGAGGTTGATTACTGCTATCTGAAGTCGGTGAATCGAACCTATAAATATATGTCCGCGAAATATAAGCTTTATCAACTTCCGGTTAAGGCTCTGGAAGTATGAAAATCGCAGCAATAATTCCTTTTAGTTCTCATTGGGAAAATAATTTCAGGTCAATTTTATGCTGATGAAGAGATTCAACGGATACAAGCCTTTCCTCTACAACATTACCCTCAATGCCTGTAAATTTTTTGTCAATCCCAAGTACAGTCCTGTGACGAAATTCTTTTATGAATCGGTTGTGACCTTCACCAACATGAACCACTCATGTCCCTACAATGTAAGTGAAAGTTGTAGCTTTTAGAACTGTACCATTAGGACGTAACCACTTAACTCTTTGCAGCATGACATTATTTTGGATAAGGTTCCTATTGAATTCATCAATCACCGATTTACAAAGATTCTGCCCTTTCCTGAGGGCGACTATCTCATTGAGGCCTACTGGTCTAGCTCGGGATCTCCTGTTGCTGAGGGCAAAGTATATTTCACTCTTTCTTAAATAAAACAAAGGGAATAAATTAATAATCAATGTCATAAATAATAAATAAACACTTTGACCAATATGCTCCAATTTATTGCCTTTTCAATGCCAAATGTGTTTCTAAACGATTTTATAAAAATGGAAAACAAATTATTGTTACAAATCTATTTTAAAGTGTTTGAATGAAAATATATTTTAATTACAAGAGGTGATGTATTAAAAGTCGAATGCAAACTTGATTGGAGCTGCAGTCTTTGTTGGTGCGTCGAATTCACAGGATGGCCCATAAGATGAGTTCTCTGGTGCGGATAGTTTTGATCCTACATTTATTTTCGGAAGTATGCTATAACTACAATAATATTGAAGTGTCATATGAAAACGATGAAATCTTCTAGATTCATTCCCGGGTTGAGTTTACGAACATCAAGTGCAAATCGGTGGATAAGAAATTCGGGGATGTTGATTACTGCTATCTGAAGTCGTTTAATCGAACCTATAAATATTTGTCCGCGAAATTTAAGCTTTACCAACTTCCGGTTAAGGCTATAGAAGTATGAAAATCGCAACAATAATTCCTTTTAGTTCTCATTGGGAAAATAATTTCAGGTAAATCTTGTGCTGATGAAGAGATTCAACGGATACAAGCCTTTCCTCTACAACATTACCGTCAATGCCTGTAAATTTTTTGTCAATCCCAAGTACAGTCCTGTGACGAAATTCTTTTATGAATCGGTTGTGACCTTCACCAACATGAACCACTCATGTCCCTACAATGTAAGTGAAAGTTGTAGCTTTTAGAACTGTACCATTAGGACGTAACCACTTAACTCTTTGCAGAATGACATTATTGTGGATAAGGTTCCTATTGAATTTATCAATCACCGACTTACACAGATTCTGCCCTTTCCTGAGGGCGACTATCTCGTTGAGGCCTACTGGTCTAGCTCGGGATCTCGTTTTGCTGAGGGCAAAGTATATTTCACCCTTTCTTAAATAATACAAAGGGAATAAATTAATAAACAATGTAATAAATAATAAATAAATACTTTAACCAATTTGCTCCAATTTATTGCCTTTTCAATGCCAAATGTGTTTCTAAACGATTTTATAAAAATGGAAAACAAATTATTGTTACAAATCTATTTTAAAGTGTTTGAATAAAAATATATTTTAATAACAATAGGTGATGTATTAAAAGTCGAATGCAAACTTGATTGGAGCTGCAGTCTTTGTTGGTGCGTCGAATTCACAGGATGGCCCATAAGATGAGTTCTCTGGTTCGGATCGTTTTGATCCTACATTTATTTGCGGAAGTATGCTATAACTACAATAATATTTAAGAGTCAAATGAAAACGATGCAACCTTCTAGATCCATTCCCGGGTTGAGTTTACGAACATCAAGTGCAAATCGGTGGATAATAAATTCGGGGAGGTTGATTACTGCTATCTGAAGTCGGTGAATCGAACCTATAAATATATGTCCGCGAAATATAAGCTTTATCAACTTCCGGTTAAGGCTCTGGAAGTATGAAAATCGCAACAATAATTCCTTTTAGTTCTGATTGGGAAAATAATTTCAGGTCAATTTTATGCTGATGAAGAGATTCAACGGATACAAGCCTTTCCTCTACAACATTACCGTCAATGCCTGTAAATTTTTTGTCAATCGCAATTACAGTCCTGTGACGAAATTCTTTTATGAATCGGCTGTGACCTTCACCAACATGAACCACTCATGTCCCTACAATGTAAGTGAAGGTTGTAGCTTTTAGAACTGTACCATTAGGACGTAACCACTTAACTCTTTCCAGCATGACATTATTTTGGATAAGGTTCCTATTGAATTCATCAATCACCGACTTACAAAGATTCTGCCCTTTCCTGAGGGCGACTATCTCATTGAGGCCTACTGGTCTAGCTCGGGATCACCTTTTGCTGAGAGCAAACTATATTTCACCCTTTCTTAAATAAAAAAAAGGGAATAAATTAGCAATCAATGTCATAAATAATAAATAAACACTTTGACCAATATGCTCCAATTTATTGCCTTTTCAATGCCAAATGTGTTTCTAAACGATTTCATAAAAATGGAAAACAAATTATTGTTACAAATCTATTTTAAAGTGTTTGAATGAAAATATATTTTAATTACAAGAGGTGATGTATTAAAAGTCGAATGCAAACTTGATTGGAGCTGCAGTCTTCGTTGGTGCGTCGAATTCACAGGATGGCCCATAAGATGAGTTCTCTGGTGCGGATAGTTTTGATCCTACATTTATTTTCGGAAGTATGCTATAACTACAATAATATTGAAGAGTCATATGAAAACGATGCAAGCTTCTAGATCCATTCCCGGGTTGAGTATACGAACGTGAAGTGCAAACAGGTGGATAAGAAATTCGGGGATGTTGATTACTGCTATCTGAAGTCGGTTAATCGAACCTATAAATATTTGTCCGCGAAATTTAAGCTTTACCAACTTCCGGTTAAGTCTCTGGAAGTATGAAAATCCCAACAATAATTCCTTTTAGTTGTCATGGAGAAAATAATTTCAGGTAAATTTTGTGATGATGAAGAGATTCAACGGATACAAGCCTTTCCTCTACAACATTACCGTCAATGCCTGTAAATTATTTGTCAATCCCAAGTTCAATCCTGTGGCGAAATTCTTTTATGAATCGGTTGTGACCTTCACCAACATGAACCACTCATGTCCCTACAATGTAAGTGAAGGGTGTAGCCTCTTTAATTGTACCACTTAACCACTTAACTCTTTCCAGCATGACATTATTTTCGATAGGGTTACTGTTGAATTTATCAATGACCGATTTACAAAGATTCTACCCTTTCCCGAAGGCGATTATCTTATTGAGTCCTACTGGTCTAGCTCGGGATCTCCTTTCGTTGTGACAAAAGTATATTTCACCCTTTCTTAAGTAAAAAAAATTGAATAAATTAATAACACAAGGGAACAAGGGTTTTGTTGATTAAGAACTGAATGTCATAAATAATAAATAAAAATATATAAGACAAAATTGGGTAAATAACCAATTTACTCCAATTTATTGCCTTTTTAATGTAAAATGTGTTTCTAAACGAGTTCATACATCGTGGGAATATTCGTACTCCACCAGGATCTGTCTAAATAGCCGAGATATACACAAAAGCACATGCAATACATACATATGTAGAGAGTATATGCATTTACATATATGCCGCTAATTGGTCTTTTGGTCTACAAATGAAAGCGTTGCTCTGGCAACGAGCTGCCACGTGCTGCAGCTCCTTGCGGCGACAGCCCTGGCGTATACGCAATATTTGTATTTTTTCCATTGCACTCTCCCTCTCTCTGCTCTGCTGTATGTCTATGAAATCCGGCTTAAGCCTCTTGCTACCTGTGCGATATGTATGCAATTCTTGCTGCCCCTCAACACCACACACACACACACACACACACATACATACATATACGAATGGACAACAATGCCATACGCACACACAAGGACAGATACAAAAAACCAAAAGTGGGACGCATTTTTGCCAGAAGCTTTAGCTGCCGGCGCTGGTTGGCCGTTGGTGGTGTGGTGCCTGCCTGCCTGTGGCTTTGCCGACGGCTTGGGACGCTGGTAAACACTCAAATCCAATTAAATTTAATACGACTTACTTGGCTTTGTTGCAGCCGCATGTGTGAAAGAGACAGTACGAATAAATGAATGAGAGACAAAGAGGGAGAGCGTGGAGAGTGGAGTGTGGAGTGTGGAGTGTGCCGTTTGTTTGGCATTTGGTTGCTCTCGTTCTGGTTTCTGTCCTCTCCACTCCTCTTATTTTTCTTCTTGTTTTCATTTTTCAACGCTTTTTCTGGAGACACACTTGCAGAGGGTATGATGATTTTGAAGAGACATTTTTATGGCAGCAGAGAAATTTGTTCTCTGCTCTTTCAGTTGTTTAACTGTGTACTGGAATCTTTTCGGATGCAGCTGCCTTAAATTTGTGGCAACTCGAGTCTCCTATCCGAAGAATATTCGTAACTATAATTAAACTATAATTTGCACAGTCTGGTGTCTAAGGGTATACAAAATTCGATTCAGCAATGTTGGTGCTGCCAGTTATTTTTGTAATGTTATTACCGAAGCTGCTTTTGTTCCGTTTAGCCAAAAGCTTTGGACTTGGCTTGGCTTCGCTTAATTAAAGCTTCACTTTGGAAATAAAATTTGCAGCTGGAAATGAGCTTAAGCGAGCTAATTGAGTTTTTGTGTGGCGTCTCACCTGATCAAACTCAATTGTCCGTAAACCGGCTAAGCAAAAGCAGGAAATCAGAACAATTACAGGTTAAAACCGACAGAACCGACAGTCAATGAACGTGTTGGCAGGCAATCAGATCCGGTCCGCTTTCGCTCCCAAGAAGTTATTTACGAGTACTAGCATACAGCAATTTCTTGCTGGTTGTCGTAGGACAGGGTGAATCGTGTGCTATGAATATGCAAGAGCTGCCGTTAACCTCCCCCCCACATGGAATATGCATGGAAAGTGTGTGAAGTGCCAGAGAGCACTGCAATCTATGTCACATGCAAAACAGTATCCTTACAGTGCGATGCATTTCAAGTGATTGTCGAATATTTTGCATGCATTTCATTTGCGTAAGTCTCAAATTATACCAAGAACCTTTGCATATTAATGGATTCAGTTATTTGAGAACTATCTAAGCAGGAATATATTTATCCTTAAAAGCGTACCAGTACACTCGAAAAAAAACTACAAAGTAAACAAAAAATACACCCATTATAAAATGTACTACACATATGTGTGGATTTTAAATACTAACACTGCGAAATTAAATAGAATCCCACTTTGATTTCAACATAAATGTATACCGAAATATTTTTTATGCAATCCATAATTAATCTAAATCGAACAAAAAATATAATATATTAAATATGTACAAAATATATTTAATCTAAAAATTAAAATATATCAAATATATTTTGTTTTAAATATGAAATATATTTAAATAGCTTCTATCTTTTTTGAAAACTTTCTTTTTCCCATTTTCACTCTCGGTGAAAATTTAATTTTATATATTGTTTTAGATCTAAATGTATAGTAATCATTCCCGGAACAAATTAAAAAAATATGTAAACGAAAAAACCCCATCGAAGGCGTCTGTGAGTTTTAAATCAAGCCAAATTTGTTGGAACAGCCAAAACCTTTCATTCTTTTAGTTTAATTTTGTACCTCGTTCGTTCGTTCCATAAATATATATAAATTCTAGAGTTTGGTGAATTATTATTATTTTTGGAAATTTTTAAAATGTCCCATTTGATCATAAAAGATGATTCATTGGGAGAGATTCTCTCAAATGCATCGACATGCACCAATGGCTATGACAGCTTGGAAGACTGCAGCGAAGGCGCTAACAGAAAAGATTTCCATTACAGTTTGGAGCAAAGAGATGTTGTAGATGCTTCGTCCAAGCTGCAATGCTGTGGTAACAGTTACTTTAACTTTCTGAAGGACTGCAAGCAACGATATCGTTCAATGTACAATGGACACCGGGTGGTAGATGTCGGCTCCCAGCAGTGGCGTGCAATGTCGCCGTTCCCAGCCGTTCACAGCCGTTCCCAGTACCGAAATGTGAGTGTGATTGTTGCGTCTACAACTTGCAATCAATGTAGCAACTCTCTTTTAGTTCCAACAGACCGACCATGGAACTGCAGGTTCTGTTCTGTTTCCGGAAGACAGCAGCAGTGAGTCCGACGATTTGGTAGGATGCTCGGATGCCATTGCCATAGATTCGAAAGATTTCTTAATAGGGGATGAAAATTGTGGCAAGTCGAAGAAGAGCAAGAAGCCAGCTGTTGGAAAGGCCAAAGGCAATAAGTCGCTCTGCAGCAAGACCAAGAAACGCACCTCGAAGCTGAAGAAGCGCTGCTCGAAGCCCAAGAAAGGCTGCTCAAATCCCAAGACGAAGAAACCCCGTGCCAAGGCCAAGAAGCCGACGAAAAGCTGCGCTCGCCCCAAGAAGCATGGCTAGTAGAAAAGCCCTAAGCAACATAAATACACAACGACTAGGCACACCGAAACCTCCAAAAACACTCCACATGTAGCTGAAGAAGCATCAGCTGCCCAGCCATTGAAATGCATTGTAGATCTTTTGAGGGTCCTGCAAATCCAACACACATACACACACTCTAGCATACACAGCTGCAACCCCTTTTTGTGCATATAAACAATATCGTAAATAAAAGTCTGATGTGCCAATGCATTTTTCTTAGCTTTTATTTATACATTGCTTTAGTTTGGTCTGCTCAACCCAGTCCCCGCAAACTGTCCAAATTTCGTGCCCCTGATGTCCTCTCCTGTTGTCCAGTTGGCAGTTGCTTCGCATTGACAACCCTTTGGGGCACACCTAGGGCCTGTTGCACATCCGCGATCTCCAAGCCGAACAGCAGGGGCAGCAGCGAGATCAGACAGAGCGCAACGAGTATAAGTTTCATCTTTGGACAGATCGCCGAGCAGAATGACTGCCATAAGCGAGGTGGGGCGGGTTTTTATACCCGCAATTTTGGCGTGGCCTTGGAGGCTGTAGAAACAACAACAACAACAAAAGCTGAAACAGCTGGGGATCTGGCTGGGGCGGATGGGGCTTCTAAATTTAAGTGCAAATCGCGTCCGAGTTCGAGTACGAGTTCGAGTGAGAGACAAATTTAAGCACTGAATGCCGCCGCGTGGATTTCCGGCAGGCAATTAAGAAAATTGGCCAACCGGTGGAATGCTCTTGATACTGGCCTTACCAGCCACCCTCCCAACCACGAGCCAACACCTCCCAAGCTATTACATAATAGATTGTAAATATTTGACACCAGCCAGCCAGCCACCCACTTAACCCCCAACCAGATTGCTGTGGCCTTAACAATGAAAACAATTTACCCCATTCACAGCTTCTTTGGGGGGGGGGGAGCTCAGAACTCAGATCTTAACCCCATTTTGGAGTCGAAGTTTCTTCAATTACTTTTTGCACGATTTGATTTTACATTTAACGATTTTTCGCACTTAATTAGAAGCCAGTGTCGACGTCAGTGGCAGACCAAGGAGTCCTGCCAAAAGGGGGATTGGGGTTGGCCATGATTTGATTAAATGTGAAGATGAATTTTAATTAAAATCCAACCCCCAACTGCTACTGCTACTGCTACAACCCCTCGGCCAAGTTTTTGACACTCAACACTTTCCGGCCCACACCACCCCCCATCTACGGTCCACGCCTTCACCCACCATCTAATAGAGTAATAAAAGCCGCAAGTTCATGCCCGGCTTTATTGGGGTAGGGGAGAACAGGTCCTTTTGTGGGCTTAGTCATTGCCAGCATCGTAATTTATGCAAAATGAAAATTAAAGATCCACCACGGGGCACAACTTTTTACCCAGGATTAATGCAAATGGCAGACTAATGAATTTTTGAAAACTACTTACAAGTATTTTGGCCAAAAACGATGCCGCTCCTGTTCATATCAATTAAAGTGCTTAAAGCCCTGAACTGCCATCAATCCTTTGGTAAATAACGAAATATTTGTGTTAATTTTCTAAGGCATTCGCTTAGCTCTGACTAACAAACAATGGCAGACTGTTGGCGAAAGTTTGTCCAAAGCCAAAAAGAAAAGGCAAAGTGCCGAAACGACTGTGAATCAAACGCACTCGCCCCCCCTACGCACACTTTTTGGACAGTCACATGCAGCAGATAATAAAAAAGAATTTAGGAAGAACTTCGACAGACTACTTGTTGATACCCTTTGATAAAATACAAGCATGAAGTAACATAATAGTTGACGGCAGCAGAGCGAGTAAGTAACATCTATTGAGTGCTTAATTACAAGAGTTTTTTTAATGGATGTTTAATCTATTGTAATTAAGTTCTGGAAATGTAACAGACAAAACTATTAGAACAAATTATTTGCTCTGCTATGACTCTAAATAATTACGAGCTAAATAGCAAGTCAATGATATACATATGTATATAAGTAATCGGATAAATGTCACAGCAAAAATAGAGTTAAAAAAAATCAAACAAAATTCCCTTTGACACTGCAAGTAAATTACTAGCCCCAAATTTCAAGGAAAGTAATCGAATTCCAATTCAACTATTATCCCAGTATACCCTTTTCAGCTCAATAGGGAATATGAAAACTTTTCCACATTGGGGGGGCTTAGGTCTTTTTTGCTGGCTATGGAAGTGGCTATGGTGGTTCTAGTGTTAATTCCTATCGTGTGGATTCGGTAGCCTGTCGCGTCCAATGGACCGGGCCGGAGCCGTTCAAAATTACGAGCCAACAGTTTCCGTACTGTTTTTTGTCATTTCCATGCGCTCATTGTCAGTTTTAAGTAAGCAACTTCCTCGTTTTTGTTGTGGTTCCATATTTGCTCTTGTTTTTTCCAGCAGCAGCAGCAGCCAAAAGTTTTCCGACCAAAACTCTGCCTACAAATGCAGACAAATATGGAAAAACTCATGAAATGCAATAAATTTTCAAATATATTTCGTGTGCGCGGCAGAATGTGTGTTAGTTTGTTTTTTTTTTTCTTCTTTTCGTTGGTTGTTGTCTGTTTCAGACGTTCCTTTTTGTTTGTTTTTCTTTTGTTAGATATTCATATTGCAGGACCTACAATACATGTATAGAGTTTTCATTGTTTTTAAAGTGAAAACTTTTTTCTTGGTACCAGTGCCACAGAAGTGCCTACTGATAAAGCCAAACGAACAATCAAATAACTGAAACAGAGACGTAGACGTAGACGGCGAGAGATACTGACAAGAACTGGCAACGACTGCGGCCAAAAGCTGAGCCATATAAATCAAAAAGAGTTAAAAGTTATTGCGTAAAGCCAGAAGACACAAATTTACGAGTCACGAGTCAATGGAAAGGCCAGCCAAAAATACCAGATATCGATGCGGGAATGACAAATGGAAATATTTGATTTAAAAGTCCTTTAAGGGGGGAAAGTTGTTGACTGTTTTGGCGAAATGCAATTCTTATCTTTAATAAAATGAACCACAAATAATCTTGGCACTTGTTTAGCTGCTGTCCTGTACATGGTGTAACCACTTGGTAGCTTGAGTTTCCATTGAATTGAATTGAATCGCATAATATGAGTACTTTGCCAGCAATTAATTTTCTTCAATGTCATGCAGCAGAAGAGAAAAGCTTCGAGACTAAGGGCTGACTGCACACGATTTATGTGGAGCTGAACGACTGTCAGCCCACCTTGTCATTGACTGTAAATTTTGAGAGATTTTCCAATGAATTGCCCAAAGCGTTTGACAGACTCAACAACAACAACAACAGAATAGAATACTAAACAAAAATCAAGAAACCACAACCATTGATAGCACCGATAACTGCTGGTCTATGTTTGTCTGATCAAATTCTTCAACGCGCATCGCCTGCTACGCGATAAGACGAGCAGTCAATACTCTCTATGGAGCGAGAAGTGGGTGCAATTGTCTCTATATAAGGTAGCGCCAGTCGATTGTACAACTCAATAGACGCCCCGTGCCAGAACCCAACGGAACGGAACGGAGCCAAGATTAAAAATGCTGAAGTATTTCGCTTTCCTGCTGCTGCTGTGCGGCACTGCCTTGGCAGCCGACAGCTACGATGGGTGAGTAGGATGTGGCAATGCACTGAGACCAGTTGAGTGACGGAACCTGCACAGTTACAAGATCTACGACATCAATACGCGCACCACATTCGAGAAGGAGCTGCTGCTGCGCCTGTCCCAAAATGCCGACTTGGACTTCTTCGATATGCCACGCTCCCTGGAGGCTGCCAGCCGCGTGATGGTGCAGCCCAAGGACCAGGAGGGCTTCGAGCAGCTGCTGCAGAAGTTCGCCGTTGAGTACGTGGTGGTCAACGAGGATCTGGGCGTGTCCCTCAGGCAGGCGCAGCTGGAGAACCAGAGCCAGCGTTTGATGGCCCAACGCTCGGCGTCGCGCAGCATCAGCTTCTCGGCCTTCCACCGCCACGCGGAGATCAATGCCTATCTGGACGAGCTTGCGGCTGCCTATCCCAGTCGTGTGTCCGTGCAGGTGGCCGGCAAATCGTACGAGAACCGCGACATCAAGACGATCACCATCAGCAACGGCGACGGCAAGACCGGCAAGAGCGTCATCTTCCTGGATGCCGGCATCCATGCCCGTGAGTGGATCGCCCATGCCGGTGCCCTGTACGTGATCCATCAGCTGGTGGAGAACTTTGCCGCCAACTCGGCGCTTCTGAAGGACTACGACTGGGTCATCCTGCCAGTGGTGAATCCCGACGGCTACGAGTACACCCACACCAGCACCCGCATGTGGCGCAAGACCCGCAAGCCCGTCAGCAGCTCCTGCTACGGCACCGATGCCAACCGCAACTTCGACTACCACTGGGGCGAGGTGGGTGCCTCGAGCTACTCCTGCGCCGATACCTTCAAGGGCGAGACCGCCTTCTCCGAGCCAGAGACACAGCTGGTGCGCGATCTGCTGCTCAGTCTGAAGAGCCGCGGCAAGTTCTATCTGACGCTCCACTCCTACGGCAACTATCTGCTCTATCCCTATGGCTGGACCTCGTAAGTGCTGCCTGATCGAAGATCAGCCAGATGCAGTCACATTTAACCCGGTTTTACTTTTCCTTTTTCCGCCAGCTCTCTGCCCGCCAGCTGGCGCGACATCGATGATGTGGCCCAGGCTGGAGCGGCCGCCATTAAGGCTGCCACTGGCACCAAGTATGAGGTGGGCAGCTCCACGAATGTCCTGTACGCTGCTGCCGGTGGTAGTGATGACTACGCCTTCGCTGTGGCCGAGTTCCCCATCTCCATTACCATGGAGCTGCCTGCTGGCGGTACTGGCTTCAATCCCACCACTGCCCAGATCCTGCCCTTCGTCGACGAGACCTGGGTGGGCATCAAGGCCATGGCCCAAAAGGTTGTCGAAAAGTACTAAGCGAGTGCAATAAAAAACGCCCCCCGATATTCCCCAATCCCCCTAACTCACTCTCTTTTGGGTCTCATTTCGAATTCCGTTTCCGTCCCAGTGGCGCCCCGCTGGGCGATTTGGAGTTGTTCGGGCGTATCGCACGAGTACGAGTGTTGGTGTTGGCTGTGGCATTGACACACTGGCCATAATTGGGTGGAGGCACTCGACTCTAGCCACGGCCAGCTATCGGTGTCTGCTAATTGAGCTCATGAAGTGCCCCCTCCCAAGTCAAGTTGCGCTGGCTTATCACTGTTCCTCCGAAATGGACAAATTAATTGTCTCGATCAGCTCTGATGGCTATCACTATAAATAGAATGGTATAGGGGATATTTTAGGGTTAACAGAGCAATAACAGGGCAAGAACGGAGCATGAACAGAGCATGAACAGAGCATGAACAGAGCATGGACAGAGCAATAACAGAGCATGAACAGAGCAAGAACAGGGCTACCTGGAGGAATGTCCACAAGTTATCACGCTTTAATATTTGATCGATCAAAATGAGTTAATGGTGCTGCTTTTATTGGGGCTATATCTAATTAATGAATTTATTATGGAGAGTTTGGGTTGGCATTACGCAAGTGGATACTTTTGAACCACTTTACGAGCCATGGCCGCAATGCCAACCCACGTCTCCTTGACCAGCGAATCGATGGCTGAGGCTGGTGGATCGAAGCCAGTGCCGCCGGGCGGCAGTTCCATGGTGAACGATATGGGAAAGCCCGCATTGAAGGCATAATCATCGCTGGCACCAGCAGCCACGTACAGAACGTTGGTGGATGAGCCGATCTCGTAGAAGGTGCCCGTATCCTCGAGTATGGCATCGAAGCCAGCCTTGGCCACCTCGTGCAGATCCTCAACAGTGTCCGGCAGGTCCCTATGGAAGAACAGAACCAAATTAAGATTGGACCTGGACTGCAAATCGAAGCTGATGCACTTACGAGCTCCAGCCCCATGGGTAGAGGATGTAGGGGCCATAGGAGTGCAGGGTGAGATACATTTTGCCGCGACCGGCATAGCTGTGGATGAGATCGCTCACCACCACGGCCTCTGGCTCCGAGAAAGCCTTCGAGCCGGCGTAGGTCTGGGCGCAGGGATCCGCGGAGGCACCCTCCTCGTTCCAATGGAAATCGAAATTGCGATTGGGATCCGTGCCGATGCAGTCGGAGCTGCTCGGTTTGCGTGTCTTGCGCCACATGCGCGTGTCCTCCGACAGCTGGGTGTACTCATAGCCATCCGGGTTGACCACGGGCAGGATGACCCAGTCGTAGTCCAGCAGCAGATCCGCATTATCCGCCACATTGTTCACCAGCTCATCGATCAGGTACACAACAGCAGCGGGCGAGATCCACTCACGGGCATGGAAGCCACCGTCCACGAAGATGACGTTCTTGTTCCGGCGACCATCCCCGTTCGTGATTGTGACTGTCTTCATCAGGCGCTTCTCGTAGCTCTTGCCCACCGTCTTGACGAACACGCGGCGTGGATGCTCCTGGGCCAGGCCCTCAATGAACTGATTGATCTCCGCATGGCTGTAGAATCGCTCCGTGCCCAAGCGCCCATTGCCCTGGTAGGGGAACCTTTTGCGCAGAATGCGATCCTTGGCAAACTGTCGGCGCAGGGTGCGACCCACGTTGCGGTTAAGGACCCTGTAGCTCAAGGAGTGTCCGTCCATCAGCTGGACAAAGTTCAGCTGCTCCTCCGGATGGACCATGATGCGTGGCGGCTGGCCGCCGCTCGAGAACACCTCATAGTATGTTTCATTCCGGGCCAATTCGGCCAAGGCCTGGTCCATCACAGCCGTGCGGGCTTTCGCTGACACCTCATAGATCTTATACCTAAGCGAATCAAATTTGAGGATATCTATAGGCAAGCAGAGTGTTCTTGGTATGTCCCTACCCTTCGTATTTGTTGGACTGGACCTGCGTCAGGCACAGGCAGCTAAGTGCGAGTACAATCCATGATATGCCCATCTTTCCACGTTGCAAGTCCGCGGAGAAATAAAATTCGGAGCCATCGAGGAGGCATGCCCATGCCCTGGCACCCCAGAGAAAACAACATCGAATCGTTATCGGTGTCTAATCAACGAGAAAGGTTTCAAATCAGGCACAAAAAATAAAACTTTATGAGAGATGATAATTGTTAACAATAAAATTAGCAACATTGATAGCAACGTTGGTAATGTGTTATCGAATGCACTGGAAAAAAAAACTAAATGGTATGCAGGTATTGGTTTGGAAAGTCCAGTTATAATAGTGGCTATATATGTGCATATACATACTACGTACATATGTATGTATCTGCATACGAGTTCGCACATTATACACAGAACACGTGGAAAAAATAAAACACCGATACGAATGCTGCTTGGCTACTGCTTGCCCGCTTTAACAGACCTCTGTAAACGTAGTTAACCTAGAGATAACATGTACATTTGTAGATAACAGTCTAAAGATGTCACAATGTAGAATGTAGAATGTACGCGCTCATTTTTATTCGTTTTCAATCATGTTCGATCATGTTCATTCATGCCTGGCTACTGCTGGCCCTCTTTAACATAGCTCTGTAAACGTAGTTAACATCGAGTCACAATGTTGAATGTAAGAGCTTATGTATGTCAGGTAGTTCAGGTTCAGACATGTCAGCTCCTGTCCGTTCCGTTCAGTTCAAGCCCGTTCCTGTTCATTCCCACCCATTCCTATCCCTTCCTCTCTCATTCGTACCTCTGTTATCGTTTTGTGCAAACAATATTTAATTTAGCTAATAAAATAAAATTCTAACCGCGCCTGATGCACTTCTAGTAAATCTCAAGGAGCTTCTCGGCCATGGCACGAATGCCGATCCACGTCTCAGTCACGAACTCGTCGATGCGCGTAACTGGGGGATTGAAGCCAATGCTGCCGGCGCCCGTCAGCTCCATGGTGATGGACACATTGAAGCCAGCATAGAAGCCGTAATCGTCGCTGGCCCCGGCTGCAATGTACAGCACATTGGTGGAGGAGCCGCAGGTGTAGATTGTGCCCGTGGCAGCCTCAATGGCATCGGCGCCAGCCCGACCCACTGCATCCAGATCCTCCCAGGTGTCGGGCAAATCGCTGCAAGATCAACGTTAAAGACCAAAAGGCCAAAATATGGAAGAAATTCGACACCCACCTGGTCCAGCCCCAAGGATAGAGGATGTAGTTGCCGTATGAGTGGATGGTCAGGTACATGACGCCGCGATCCGCCAGCGTGTGCATCAGATCTCGAACCACGATCGTCTCCGGCTCGGAGAAGGGCGTCGGACCGGCAAAGGTGTCGGCGCAGGGGTTGGACGATGCGCCCTCCTCGTTCCAGTGGAAGCCAAAGTTACGGTTGGGATCGGCTCCGTAGCAGGTCTGTCCGGCGTACGTGTACGGCTGGCGGGTCTTGCGCCACATGCGGGACAGGGTGCCCTTCTGGGAGTGCTCGTAGCCATCGGCATTGACCAGGGGCAGGATGACCCAGTCGTAGTCCTCCAGGAGGTCCGTATTCTGCTCAAACTGCTCCACCAGCTGATCAATCACGTACAGCACCGCCGCCGGGGATATCCACTCGCGGGCATGGAAGCCACCGTCCAAGAAGATCACCTTCTTGCCGGCGCGCCCATCGCCGTTGGTGATGGTGATGGTCTTGAGCACACGCCTCTCATACGACCAGCCCACGGTCTTCACGAACACGCGCCTCGGGAAGCGCTCGGCCAGATCGTCGATGTAGTTGATGATCTCCTCGTGGGTGTAGTAGCGCTCCGTGCTCAGGCGACCCTTGCCCGTGATGGGGCTAAGGCGGCGCTGCAATTGGCGCAGAGCAAACTCCTCGGCTATGGAGGCGCCCAGGTTGTCATTGACGAGGGTGTGGGCCAGCTGCTGGCCTTGGAGCAGCTCCTCGAACCGCGCCAGCTGAGCGGGACTGACAATTACCCGCGATGGCCTGCCCGGCAGACGGCTCTCGCTAAGGAAGTCAAAACCCTCCATACTGAGCTTGTGCAGGTGCTGTCCTTGGACAGCATTTTGTGGTGTCACTTCGTAGATGCGGTAACTATAAGGATCTCCATAGATTAAGCCACCAGCTGCTCTGTGTCCACTCTATTCCTTACCCTTCGTAGTCTTGATCGGCGGCCACCAGCGCCACAGCGCACAGCAGGAGAACTAGCAGACCCCAGAGGTTCGACATCTTCGTGTACAAAAACTAAGCGACCGCGTGCCGTGGGTCGGCCACTTAAATAGCCGCCCCGACAGAGCCAGTCGGCTCCATATCTAATCGGTCTAGCACATCAATAAACAATAAAGAACTCGTCCGATCGCACATAAGAGATCAGCAGAACTGGCGCAATCCGACGAATTAATGTCTCTTTATTTACGGTCCTCCACTATTGTGGGGTAACGTCTTATCACCTCCACGGCCATGGCACGCACGCCCACCCAACTCTCGGTGACGAGGCCCTCGATGTGCGAAACCCAAGGATCGAAGCCGAGGAATCCACCGGCTGGCAGCTCCATGGTCATCGCCACTGTCGCATTGGCCACGCCCAGCGCATAGTCAGTCGTATCACCCGAGGTGGGATACAGCAAATAGAAGGTGCTGCCATAACTATAGATGCCGTTGGTGGCATGAACAATTGCCATGGCACCGGCTTCGGCCACGGCCATCATGTCCTGGTAGTTATCCGGGAAGTCCCTGAAAAGGAAGAGCCAGAAATATTCCAATTATTCTGGGCATACACTTTATACAATCGTTAAAATGTTGCGCACTATTTAAATTACTGGATGCACAGCTACTACTTTTGGTGACACATTTTCTTCATACTTCTGCATACACAGATAACATGGAAATGCGCTTGGTTTTACTGCCAATATTCATATTATCGCCCCATGTCCCATAAATACCAAGTGCCAAGTGCAACACATTGTAGCCAGAGAATGTGGTCGAGGCTCGCTATAAAGCAAGGGAATCCTCTATGGATCGCAACGAAATGTCTCGAGCTGTGTTCGTACTCCTAATTGTTGCAGCACTCGGCGCTCAGTCTGCGATTCTCAATCGACGTGCGACTGCTCTTCAGACGGACGACTACTACAGCTATGAGGGTATACTGGAGTACCTTGAGGGTTTGGCATGCAGCCACCGCAATCGAGTGACGCTGAAGGATTGGGGTAGGACATACGAGAATCGTACGCTCAGGAGCATAACCATCACCAACGGAGATGGGCGCAAGGATAAGAACGTGATCTTCATTGATGCCGCCTTCCATGCCAGAGAGTGGTTAACACCTGCCGCAGCCCTGTACGCCATCGACCAGTTGGTGGTGGGTTTTGAGGCGAACAAGGAGCTACTTGAGGACTACGACTGGATTGTGCTGCCCCTGGTCAATCCAGATGGATACACCTTTTCGCGTACCATCGATAGGGAGTGGCGAAAGAACCGCAGCCCTAGTGGATGTGGATGCTATGGGACTGACCTAAATAGAAATTTCGCCGTAGGTTGGGGTGGAGATAGCAGCTCGAAAAATCCATGTAACAAGACATTGTATGCTGGGCGTGAACCATTTTCCGAGTCGGAGTCCAGTGCTGTGAGGAAAGTCATGCACGATTTGATGGAGACTAAAAGGGGCATCATGTATATTACAATTCATTCGGCTGCTTCACTGATTGTCTATCCCTGGGCATATGCCAGGTAAGTTCCAACCCATAGCTTCATCCCCACACTTCCTTCTGTATTATTCATACTCAGGATTCCTGCCAAAAACTCCAAAGAGCTGGCTGAGATCGCACAGGCTGGCGTAGATGCCATAGCCCAGGCGCCATTTGATTCGCCTTCAATGTACAACGCAACTGCTGGTCATGTGTGGTATACTGCGGGAGGATCATCCCAAGACTATGCTTACTGCATTGGTTTCCCTCTGGCCTATACGATAGAACTACCGGAAAAAAGAGGCAATACCACATTTAATTTCTTTCCTCCCACCAAATTCATAAAGGAACTGGTCGAGGAAACTTGGATTGGCCTGCGTGCCATGGCAGCGAAGGCCATTGAAAAATATCCATCCTCAGAGAGGAACCTCTTCCACAGGAACCGTAGCAAGAATAACTGTTTGAGTCCGCGAGAAGCCTAATAAATCGGGGAGTAAAATTCGAATTTCAGACTGTATTTCACTTACTTTGTGTATCCCCAAGGCAAGAGCAAATAGTTGCCGTACGAGTGCAGCGACAGGTAAAAGTTCAAACGCTGACTGTAGTGCAGCAGAAGGTCCCGCAGGACCTGCGACTCGGGCTGATCGAAGGGACGCTCGCCACGGTATATATCCTCGCAGGGATCCGACGAAGAGCCCGCATCGCGTCCCCATTCGTGGGCAAAGTTGCGATTGATATCGGTGCCCACACACTCAGGATCGGTGGTGGGCTTCCGTGTCTTGCGCCAGTAGCGGGACACCGTGTGGGTGTGCTCATAGCCATCGGCATTCACCACGGGCATAATGACCCAATCGTAGTCCTGCAGCAGTTCCTGATTTTCCGCATAGTTTTCCAGCAGCTGCTGGATAATGTACAGCGCCATCGACGGGGAAATCCACTCGCGCGCATGCACAGTACCATCGATGAGGATCACCGGCTTGTTGCGACGTCCATCCCCGTTGCTGATCGTCAGCACTTTGAGGGGACGACGCTCGTAGCTCCAGCCAAACTGCTTGACCTGTGCCCGCTTCGGATACCGCTCGGGCAGGCTGTCCAGGTACGCATTGATCTCGGCGTGCGTGTAGAAGGCCGCCAGCACATCGATGTGGGGCAGTTGCAGGTGCAGCCTGCTACGCAGATTCTCCGCTCGCTGTGCCTGCACCAGCGGTGCCAGATCCTCGATCAGCAGGCGATGTTTCAGTTGGTGGCTGTCGAAGAGGCTAACCAAACTGGAGGCTTCCTCGTGTGGCACCATAACCCGAACCGTGCTCTCGTTTTCCCTGCGACGTGAACCCAAGAAATCCCATTGCGGCTTCTCCCTGGCCAACTTTCGTAGTAGGCTCTCTTCGTTGGCATCTCGCGGTGTCAGCTCAAAGACATGGTAGTCCTTGTAGTCCTGCCAGGCGAACAGCACACTGGAATGCTGCAGCAGCAGCAGCAGCAAAATTATCAGTCCAATGGATGTCATAGCTGGCTGATTGCCCGATATTAACTGAGCTACCAAATTTTACGCGAAATGATCGCATTATCAGAGTTTATCATTTTATTGGAGACACACTGCCGACCCGACATTTAACGATACCAGCGCGACATCATTTATACGCTTCTGTTTATGGCGTCAACTAAATATTTACCTTCTCTGCCCTCCGCCATTTGGCTAGCAGAGGTAGAGCAGAGCTAGTCACTGGTACTGGTACTGGTGCACGCGACTGGATAGCAAATAAAATAAATTAATGGACTCTGCTGTCCAATAAGTTAATGGTCGAAAAACAACTTGTATAGAATTTGTAAACCAGATGGCTAGGAATATATTAAATTTTTTAGAAAATTTGTGTAGGTAGAGCCGCGGCCAGTGCTGCAGCTCACAACGTGTCCGCTCATTTCAATAAGATTCTCCGTATCTCTATCTCTATACTCTATTTCTCAGTATTTCCTTTAAGAAATCTCTCTTCTGTTACGTGTATTAATCATCTCTTTAATGCTTAATGCCTAATTAGTTTAGTTAACAAACAATAAATTCAATTTGCTTCAACAGCTTACAGAATACAAAGGAAGGAAGGTTGTGCAGGTGGGGGTCTCTTCTAGTACAGACTGGCATGTCGAATGAACTCAACGAAGCCGGCAAATGTCTCCTTGCAGACGTGTATGATGTCCGAGGATGGCACATGGAACTCATCGCCGGGCAGCTCGAGCGTATAGGACAGTGGTATGCCCAGGTTGCCGTAGGCATAGTCATCCAAACTGCCGGATGCCTCGTACAGAATGGAGGCCGAGGTGCCGGTGGTGTAGCGGGTGCCGCGATATTTTCCGATTTGGTTGGCGGCTCTCAGGGCCACCGCGCGCAGTGTTCCCACGGTGGGGGGCACTGTGTTTCTGCGAATTTAAATGGAATACAGTGGCCGTGATATATTCAGATTTAATTGCTTTTAGCAAATAATTGAAAAGTAAATTGAATTTTCTTTTCGGACCATGTCTGGACACAACCGCCCTCCCGCCCGGGGACCCAATACTCACTTCGCATAGCCGTAGGGATAAAAAATGAATTTGCCAAATGAGTGAACATCCAGGCTGAGTTTCACACGTTGCCGATTGAATTCCAAATAGCGCACCACGGCCGATGTTTCCGGCTCAGAGTTGGGGGCCGTGCCCGAGTACACCTCCGAGCAGAGCTGAAAGGAAAGTGTGTGGAGCGGATTAAGTCGCTGGAAGGTCACTGGCGGTGCAACAAGTCCTAGCTTACATTCTGACTGGCGCCCTGATAGTTCCAGTGGTTGCCAAAGTTCCGATTGATGTCCACGCCAGCGCAGGCATGGCCCGCATACCGATGACGATTCTTGCGCCAGAAGCGATCCTAGAACGGGTTAGTTCCAAGTGTTAGACAGCAGTCAAAATTCCACACAATCAATCTCTGGCACCTACCGATGTGTGCGTGTACTCGTAGCCATCGGGATTGACCAGCGGCACCAGGAACACCTCCACATCCTGCAGCACCCGCTGGAAGGCGCGCAAATTGCTCAGCAGCTCGTAGGCCAGATACAGCACCGTCTGTGTGGTGATCCATTCCCTGCCATGGGCCGCCGCCTGTATATAGGCCACACGACGCGGTCGTGTCCTTGTGTTCAGCGATATGGACAGCGCAGCAATGTGGCGACCCTCGTTGGAGCGACCCAGCGACTCGTAGCGACAGTACTGGGGATAGCGTGCGGCCAGGCCGCTCATGAAGCTGAGAATCTCGCTGTAACGCGGATAGTGTGAGAAGAAGCCGCGCGCCTGGCGACGCGAGCGACGCCGTGGTCGCTCCGAGTCCCCACAGTCAGCCGCCTGGCACTCCTCCTCCTCCTCGTACTGCCCAGACTCATCCGCATACGTGCTGTTTGCCTGCAGCGCAGCCATCAGCTCCATCAGCGGCTGCACCTGATAGCTGACACCCAGATTGGAGAGACGCGACTCGAATTGAGACTTGCGCTTGGGGCTCACTGTCAGCACGGACATGTTGCGGGTGAGCAGCCAAAAGTCCAGATCCGCATCGTTAGTCTGCAGATCGACCATATAGCGAAAGGCATTCTCATTGCCATGTTCGACAGTGTATTTTGTGTAGCTAAAAGTGCAATTAAATTATTCTCAAAATATATTTTACTGGTGTTTAATCCTAAGAAGACTTCGCAGGCGCTTTAAGGCATATAATCAGCTAATTTATTATGCCCATGTCTGCTGCATTGTCTGCGCAGGAAAATCCCGACGATTGCTCCACATGTCTCTAGCTAATTGGACAACAAATTAATTTACGGCTCTCCCGCACTCGCCCTCGCCGCGGCGTCAAAGTGAGTTGTTGATTCATAAATTTATGCAAAGCGGATCGGCGGCTGGCGTCTCCGTTTCCGTCTCTCTGCCCAACGTATTTTGTTGGCGCTTTGCCACCTCTCACGAATTTGTGGCCAATTTATCATTTCATAAAATTCCACACAACGGACTACGGACTACGGACTAGAAATAATGAAGCAACAGGCAGGCAGCAAAAAGCAATGCCAAACAAGCCACAAAACGTCTTTATGCATGGACCATGCATATTCATCTCTAACCCCCCCGCCCGCACACGAATCACGTGTGGGGCAGTCAACGGGGGGAATTCAATGATAATTTAATTAAGACACCCCGCTGGCTGGCTTATCATTATTCATTTTTACATAAAGATACAGTTTACATCTATGAGTTTCGTTAGTTTTCCCAAAAACCAAATGAGTAGCCATTGTTGATCGAAGAAGGCCTTGTGGAAATCTCTGAATGTTTAGCATCTGTATTTCTGTTGATGTGGAAACCCCCGTCAAGAGTGCTGCAGAAGGAAGCAGCCAATTGATGAGAGCCATAGCCATATGGTATACGGAGTAGGTTTGCATCTACGGAGTGGGGCCAGGCCACATTGGTGCAGTGCATGCTACGACCGCAAAGCAAATCATCCATCATCGTGGAGTGCACACCGCAGCTGACTGCTGCCTGCTGCCTGCTGCCTGCATTCTGTCTGTTGAACATTTTAAGCGGCGATAGCTTTGCAATTACAAATCGCGCAAATTATGAATGGATTTGCTGCCGTTTATGCGGCTGCTCACCAAAACGACAAAACGTTTAGTGATGCCTCATTACGATAGCTTCTAATCGCTGCCGCCACTGACCATGGCCCCTGTGTGCGTAGTGGCTGTTTTTATTTATTGAATAAATAAGGGTATATATAAAGTATATAGGTTACATTTAATTTTAAGCAGAAGCCCCGCTTTAACTAATCAAAGTAGAAAAATAAATTTAAATTTAAATAATTTCTGTAACGAAATAAACTGTCAGATATTCTCAAATGAATCCAAGTAGCATATCATTTTTCATTCCAAATCAGAATCCCAGCCATGCCGAATATTAAAGTTAAAGAGTTGGGCCAATGGATCTACAAAATCTATCGCTATCTGTGGCTATTATCCGTACTGATAATACCGTGTATGGCCCTAAAATTCAAGGTGTCCGAACCCAGCACACTGGAGTGCTACATTTTTGGGTTTGGGTCCATAGCAGTGGGCGCCATTCAGTTGATAGAGACCCAACTACTTACCCGACGACATCGCTAGGATGTGGTAACTGGCGGGGTAAGTTTAAGGGGCAGTGAGATGTGATAAAAACCCGTTTGCACGATGATGCTGCTACCAACTACGAGTAGTACCCGCTGTCCATTATATTTTAAACCATTAAAAGATTTTGGCAAAACAGCAAAAAAAAAAAACAAAAAGTCAATTAATAACTGGCCCTAAAGGCGGACCTGGCTTGATTGATGGGTACATGCTAAATTTTCAGATTATTTGTGCTATAATAATTAATTCGAGTATCTTTTCTTATTACCCTTCATAGCCGGCCAGATTGTTGGCGAGACTGTTGGCCGCCAAGCCGACCAGACATAACGTCAAGCTGCACACGATCCGCTGCCACATTTTTGCACTACAACCGTATACTCCGATGTGGCCTCCGATTATGTATACTATATGTTGGTATATACAGTGTGTATGTATATATTACACGATCTTTTGTTTAATCGTCTGGCCAATTATGTATTAAAATATGCAATTGCATGGACAAAAGCACACGCTTTTATTTCTCTCTTTAGTTTTATTCACTTTTTTTTTTTTTTGCTGTATTTGCTTGGTTTTTATTTGCACGGCTGCACTTGATGCACACGATTATGCAACGTAAACGAAGAGCACACAAATTAGTTAGTTTAGTTACGATAACTAGTTAAACATTTCGTTTGGGTCCGTGCGTTCCATCTCCGTTGCGGGCGAAGACTGACGGGCAGCTTAAAAAGCGGCCGAGAAAGAAGACGATGCTGTGCTGGGCCTGGTCAACAGAAAAAATAAACCAACAACCGAAGCCGAAGTCGAAGCCGAAAATCGCGCTTATTGTTTAGAAAAGTGAGTGTCAAGGTCAGGGGCTCTACCACGACCAGTTGCCGAGAGTTTCAAATCGGATCGGAGTGGAGCGGATCGGAGCGGATCGGAGTTTGGAACGCGTCACGAGACAAGATGCGGGAAGGCAGACAACCCAACAGCCCGATGATAAAACGCGGCACGCTTCTGTGTCTATATATATTTCCGATTAGAACTTATGTGAGGAGGAGGGATGCTTGATCCCTTTTAGTTTTATGCTAATTTTTGGTTAGTTGTCAACTTTTTCTTTTCTTTAATTGCGTGCGTTAATTTTGATTGGTTCTCGATTGGATTGGATTGGTTTGCAGATTGGAAACTTGTTTGACACACACACCAACAATTTCTGTTCTTTCGGTTTTTATTTGTGGATATATTTTGTATTTTGCATCCGCATGTGGCGGTTCGTGAATCGATTCTGAAGCCGTTGCTTGTTTATTTTCTGGTTTTTATAGAGGAACTCGTATTTGGTTTCCTAATGTCCAAGCCTCAAGCCCGGTCATGATGATGATGATAATGATGGGGATGGGGCGAGTGCGAGTACACGGGGTACACACGGGGTGTTCTATGAATTCGATTTGAAAGTTCCCGATACTATGATGGGCAGACATTTGGGCACTGAACTTTCCGAAAACTTAACAAGGTCTTCCGCCAGGCGGAAGCCCAGCTCTGGTTACAGTTTCAGCCCATTATCCAAATGGAGTTCATTAAATCATCGAGTGCTGCTGCTGCTGCTGCTCAACGTCACGATCAGAAGCCAGGTCACTCAACACCAACAGATGAGATGGGCCCATCATCCGTCATCAGATACATCTTCAAATCGATCGCTGATGTCTTGACTTTGCTTTCGGTTTTCGGTTTTCGCTTTTGTGTGTAATTATAACACTTGGCCATAGCCGGAGGGGGGGCACTTCCGCACTATCAGAGCTGCACTCTGGGAGATCTACGACGGGGAGCAGATGGACACAAGCCATTGGCCATATTTCCGGTGAAACGCAAAACTAGTTTATCCGCTTTAAATTTAAATTTACATTTCAAATTTGTCCAACAGCTTAAAGCTTAATGATTATGCGACTAACTGACGGGCTGGCTGACTGGCTGCTTAATGGCAGTTCTTGATATTGTGTTCTAAATCATTTTAATTTATTTATTAGCCAAAGAGCCAGCCAGGGCATTCAACTTTTCTTACACGCGGCATAGCCAAAATTAAAATAATAATAAAACTTTGCTATCTGGGCCCAGCGATCGCATTAGCCTCTGTGTGTACATATATGTATAAGGAAAGATCTACTATTATTTGGTGTGTTTATATTTGTTTGATCTTCAAGGCATGGTGGGCCTTTGAATGGAGAGAGATTTGCATCTGAAAAAAACCTCAGTGGACAAAAGATGCGTGCGCGGCCTTAACCATGAACATGAAATCTGTCTCTATGTATCATAACAGTCGAAGCATCGTCTCACTGGGGTGTTTATTGGCTTGGGTTTCGGATCTACTTGGACCTGAAGTGCCCCCAAAAAACTATGCCAAAATTGCATAAACAAAACTTAAATTGGTATGGGACTGCCACTTGTTTTTGTTTTTGTTTTGTTCTGTTTTTGGGGCAGGTCCAGGCGGAAGTTTCAGCCAATCTGAAATTCGTTTGGGCATAATTGTTTGGAATTTGGTTTCGTTAATTTGTAAACCATTTTATGGTACCGTTTGTCCTTCCATACAGGAGACAGCCATCAAGACACAGCAACAAAAAAAAAAATGTAATAACAAAGTTTTGGGCCCCCTTTATGCTATTTGCCAACATGCTAATGACATAATGTGCATACTTCAGAAGGGGGGTACGGGGGTACCCAGCTGACTGACTGACTGAGTGACTGACTGACTGACTGGGAAAGGCTGCTTCCTTCTGCACGGGGGCCTTTGCGTGTCTATGGCATGCAATAAAAAAAGGAAATTCTAGGGGAATATATTTATACAGATTGTAGCATAGAAGACTGCAAGTATATCCTGTTTTTAATAATGATATTATCCTACTTATTTCTCGTTTTATTATAATGGTTTCTACATTTTTCTCTTAAATGTCCGCTCAAGATAAGTCGAAGGGAATAAGCCACAAATTTCTCAACTTATCAGTTCAAATTTCTATTTCTAGGGTATAAATTAGAGAAAAGGAGTAACAGTGTATTATGTAGACATAGCCAGATGTAAATATATGGCAGTCACTGTGTCAGGAAGTTGACTAAAAGACCGTTAAATGAAATGCGGCACGAACAGGATGGGGTTGGTTGGGGGTGCTTCGGCTTGCCGTATAAATCAACTGGTTGCCAACTGATTGTTGCCTATTCTATACCAATTTATACTACACATATATATATGTATATATACTTATCTATATATCTGTATATATGTATGGTAGATATGTATGTATGTCTGTATGCCGCGCACTTTTGACTTTTGCGTTGACATGACATTTGCCAGGCAATAAAAATATATATTACACTAAGCAACAGGTAAGTGGTACAACAGAAAATATGATATTATGGAGAGATTTTTGAAGGAAAAAATGCCTATACTAGGGATAGGTAATCCTGCAAATCCAGGCATATCCTGCCAGCCATCTGCCTAGAGAGTCATTCTTCTCCTGAATGCAGACAAATCGGAGGGCATAAATACGAGTATCTATTGAATTATGGCTGAAACGAATATCGTGTCATAACCTTGTGGCGCAGTGTAAGTCGGAGTAGCAGTGGGATCACAAATCTCCCAAACTGGTTTCCACCTGTAAAGCGCTTAAAAGGACTACGACTACGAGCAGAACTTGAACTGCTCCTCGTTGCAGAGGCAGCACGCCAGGCCTGGCCCTGGGAACGAGCCTGTGGGGGCGCTCTGGTTATTTGCATTGAAGCGTGCCCTGCCCTGCGCTTTTGGACTCCCACGCCCGCTCATGGCTGTCTGACATTTAGCATATTTGCGTTTTGTGGCAGGAACAGGAACAGTTACAGGAACAGTTGCAGGAGCAGGCAAAAACAAAAAAAAAGGGAATCCAAATCCAATTCCGCATTACATGCTACCCGCTGTGGCACTCCCCCAACTTATTCAACGTTGTCGCTGTCCCATTTACCCAGTGCGAGGACTCCAACCCGAGCACCCAGTTCTGTGCCAGTTCCAGTGGGGCACAAAACTCCGACTGCCAATGCCCAGGCACCGCACAATGGAAGACAATCCCAAGCAGAGAGCACGGCTCGCCCTGCTCGTTGTCGAGCGGCTGGAGCTGAGTATCAAAAATCAGGTGAAGAGTAGTAGGCCTGTCGGCCTGTCCCATTGGGTGGCATATACACCGCTGCCATACTGAGCAGTCAGTTGTATTTCCGATCAATCCCCCGTGCGACACAAACCAAAAATTCTCGAGTGAAAATAATTTTGTAATTTCCAAAAATTTGCCTTTGTTTTTCTCATTTGTAAACGCAAAATGCTGCCCACCAAATCGAAACGCGTCGTGAAGGCGACAAAGGGCAAGGCCCCTGTGCCGCCCCACTGGGAGGCACCGATTGTTCCGCCTCGCCGCGTCATCATCCCGCGTCCGGATGTGCTGCACAACTATTTGGATCACAAGCAAATCTGTCAGTACATGGACTACCTGACCAATCGGTATCCGCACTTTGTGAGGACCTACACGCTGGGCCTGACGCACGAGCGGCGGGAGGTGCGCGCTCTGGAGATCAACTGGATGAACTCGGCGAATGTGGAACTGTCGCAGCAGCTGCGAGAGCACTCCCCGCCGCCGGTGGAGATGCCGCAGAACAGCAGAACGCCATATCCGGTGGTCAACAAGGGGGATCAGTGCCGCAACACGATCTTCATTGAGGCTGGGACGCATGCCCGCGAGTGGATTGGCGTCACCACAGCCCTCAATTGCATCTATCAGCTGACGGAGCGGCATACACGCAACATGGAGGTGCTGCGCAAGCTGCGCTTCATCATTGTGCCGCTGGTGAATCCCGATGGCTATGAGTACTCCCGCACCAAGGTGAGTGCAAGGCAGAGAGGGCACCTCTCTCTCTCTCTCCACCTACACCTAATCCTCCAAAATGTCTCCACAGAATCCGAATTGGCGCAAGAACCGGCGTCCGCACAAGTCCACCAAATTCGTGGGCACCGACTGCAATCGCAACTACGACATCTTCTGGAACAGCGGCTCCAGCAAGATGAACCGCAACACATACAAGGGGGAGCGGCCCTTCTCCGAGCCGGAGACGCGCGCCATGCGCAACATGCTGGATCGCCTGGGGCCGAATCTGTTGTTCTTCCTGTCGCTGCACTCGTACGGCCAGAGCATCATGTACCCCTGGGGCTACAGTCGGGATCCGCCGCTCTTCTGGCGCGAGCTCAGCTCCCTGGCCAATTCGGGCAAGTGCGCCATCAAATCCTACAACGGACGCGAGTATCGCACCGGCAGCATTAGTTGTCTCACAAAGCGCACAATTGCCGGCTCCGTGGTCGATTATGTGTACGGGGTGTTGCGCGTGCCCATGGCTCTGGTCATGGAGCTGCCGTCGCGCGATCTCGGCTTCCAGCCGCCCGTCGAGATGGTCAGCCAGATTGGCCACGAGAGCTGGTACGGCATTCGGGAGATGTGCAAGCGTGCCTACGATCTGCGGCATCAGATCAAGCGCGAGACGGAGCCATCGCTGCCGGCCCCAGCCAGGTTCCAGGCCGGCGCTGGCGATGGTGCCGGCGACGAGTGTGCTTCCATGGACAGCAAGCCACGGGCCGCAAAGGCAGTGGCCACTGCGGGCGGCGACAGCGACGAGAAGAAGACGACGCCCAAGAAGACCAAGAAGCGGGTGAAGCGTACGGTGCGTGCCCAGCACGAGGCCATCGTGAAGCTGCAGAAGAGCAGCAAGGCAGCCGCCACACCAGGCCTGCTCCCAGCTGGACTCTATCCCCGACAAATGCCCAAAGTGGCCTCCGCACCGCCAGTGCGTGCTCGTGGCGGACAGGGCGATGGACCCATGCCACTGCTGAACGTTCGCGGCAAGCCACCAGCCTCCTCCCACATGCCGCTGGGCATCTTCCTGTAGACATTCGTTGTGGTGCCTGTGCCTTGCGTTAGTTAATAAATTAAATGTGTTGGCCAACTTCCACTGGGATTGGGTTAATTACACCCAGTCGATCATTTGGCTTAGGCTTTTAGTTCGTTTTTGTCTGGATAATCAATGGATTGAATGGTTGGGGAGGGGTCGTAACATATTCGTTTCTTTACAGGAATTCTTCACGTTTATCTTAATGTTGATTGGGTTTTTGTTTTTTGGGGGTATGGTGGGGGCGGGATGTTGTTTTGTATTTAACGACTAAAGCAACAAATATATTCTTGTTGAGATTTACTTAGCATCGAATGTGGGCACCCGCGGTGCGGCATATTTCTGGCGCAGCTTGTCGTACACTTTGCGATCCTGCAAGATATAAATTTAGATAATTAAACGTGCCTGAGGTATGTGGCCGAGCGTCTTTCGTACCTGCTCACTGACTGAGGGACGTAGCTGCAGCAGGGCATCCCTGAAGTGCTGACGACGCACACACAAGCCATCCAGATTGGTGTCGTCCTCTGCCAGGGACTGGCGCAAGGCATACATGGAGGCCTGCTTGACCAAGCCTGCCAAATCGGCACCGGTATAGCCCTCGGTCTGCGCAGCCACCTCATCCAGATCCACATCGTCGGCCATAACAGGACGCGTTCCATTCTGTGCAGCGTTGGCATTGTTCATTTGTTGGTTTATTGTTCAACGAAAATCAAAACTGTTTAAATGCTCACCTTGGTGGTTGCCTTGAGGATCTCGGCGCGCTCATTCTGCTCGGGCAAGCCCACATACAGAATGGTGTCCAGGCGGCCTGGACGCAGAATGGCGGGATCAATAATGTCTGGTCTGTTGGTTGCCGCCAGAATGTAGACGCCCTTGCGCTCCTCCACGCCATCCATTTCGGTGAGCAGCTGGTTGACAATGCGCGTGCCCGAGTTGTTGCCATCGCCGCCCTCGGATCGCTTGGGGCACAGCGAGTCGAACTCATCGAAAAATATGACACAGGGCGCCGAGTTGCGGGCGCGCTGGAAGCAGGCGCGTACAGCACGCTCACTCTCGCCAACATACTGCAAGCAGAAAGGGTTAATATGGGTCGAAACCATCTCCGGTCGTGGGACGGACTCACCATGTTCATCAGCTCGGGGCCCTTCACCGAAATAAAGTTGATGCCCGCCTCGTTGGCTATGGCCTTGGCCAGCAGAGTCTTGCCACAGCCAGGTGGACCGCAGAGCAGCACGCCCGAAGGTGCAGTCAGGCCAAGGCGCTCCAGTTTCTCTGGATACTTGACCGGAGCCAGGACCGCCAGTTTAAGCTCATCGCGAATGTCCTGCAGCGCCCCAATATCCTCCCAGGTGGTGTCTGGGACAGTGATAAAGCCTTCACGCTTCGCCGATGGCTGCATCACCTTAATGGCGTCCGTGAAGTCAAGTAAAGTGAGACAGAAATTGGGATCGGAGAACTCTTCTGGCGGATTGTCCAGAAAGTTGGTTAGCTCGGCCAGTGTGGGCTCGTAGTAATCATTCGCGGGAATCTCCTGCTCCTTCTCCTGTGTCACTTCTGTCACTGGCGTCTCTTCATCCACCTCCATGGCAGCGTCCGATGGTTTGTCCGGCGTCTGTCCATTGGTAGTTCCTTCGGCACCTTTCTCCACACTGTCGCTATCGGGTGCATCGGCCTTCTCCTTCGCCTCGTCCGGCTTGTCTTTCTCCTCCATGTCGCCGTCTGTATTGTCTTTCTCCTCCTTGTCACCGTCTGCCTTCTCCACTTCCGCCTTGGCGGCATCGTCCTTGGCCTCTTCTGCCTTTGCATCGGCCTTGGCGCCGGCAACAGACTCATCGTTGGGCTCATCATCGTCCAGCGTGACCGTGGTCATGTTCATCTCGCTGGCCGCGTGCAGCTCACGGAACTTCTTCATGGACCTGCGCTTGACGGCAATGGCGGCGGCACGGCAGACCAGTGCCATCAGATCGGCGCCCACGTAGCCGGGCGTCAGCTCGGCAATCTTGTCGTAGTTGAGCTTCGGGTCAACGGACAGACCTTCGCATTGTATGCGCATGATCTCCCGTCGCTCCTTGCGCGATGGTATGTGTATGGGGATTTCATGATCAAAACGACCAATGCGACGTAGGCCGGGATCAAGGACATCGGGGCGCGTGGTGGCCGCAATGACGACCACTGACTGGCCGAATTCGGTGGCCTTCAAGTTATCCAGGCTGCTAATCAACTGCGAGACAATGCGACGCTCCATGTCCTTGGCGGCCCACTGGCGATTGCCACCGATCGCGTCAATCTCATCGATGAAGAGCACACAGGGCGACGAGTCCATGGCCTGCTCAAAAACGTCGCGTATGCGCTCCTCAGACTCCCCAGAGATGCCACCAATCAGCTCTGTGGCCGGCACTTCCAGCAGAGGCATTTTCAATTGCTGTTTATAAAGGGAATTTATGAGGAAATCTAAATCTATAAGGGCCGGAGGAGTCCACTTACCCCACTAATGGCACGAGCCAGATAGGTTTTGCCACATCCCGGCGGACCGTGCAACAGCAGACCCCTGGAGGGCAGCAGACCCAGCTGGAAATAGAATTCCGGCGACTTGATGTGTATGAGCATCTCGCAGAGCTCCTTCAGGGTGCCATCCATGCCGCCAATGTCACGGAAACTTTCAGTTATATGCTGCAGCTCCAGGTCCTTTCTGTTTTTTCGCGAGCGTCCCGAATTGCGATCCGATGGCGACTGATTTTGCTGGCGCAGCTGCTGGTAGAGCAGCGATGAATTACGCTGATCTTTGCGTGAACAGCTGCCATCAGAGTGGTGGTTCTTGCCTGTACCTGATTGGACTGAAAGCACAGCTTGGTAATCAAGGCTTCAAGAAGAATATCGCAGAATTACACTCACATTTCTGTGTTGAATCTTGGCCCGGTCCTTGATTGATATTGATATTCGGCTTAACTGCTGATAAAAAGGAATACGATTGATTTCCACCGTATATCCTGCTGCTGGGCTATTCTGTTTGTTTAACTCACCTTTTTTGGGCGCCACAAGATTAGTTTCCGGCATATCTCCCATCAGGCGTTTCAGTGAATTGCTGCTGATTACTGGCGGCGGCGGGGCCTGGGATGCGTCGCCATTTGCGGTAGTGGAGGGCGAATCATCATCGATTTCATCGCCACTGGATATATCAATGGGCTCGGTGATCTGCTTGGCGGCCAGCGGCTTCCGCGGCTGGCTGTACAGGCTGTTCATCATGTTGTTCATCACACTGTTGAGGGGCGGCTCAGAATCTTCGCTGGGGCAATCTTCCTCCGAGCTGCTAACCTTGTCCAAATTATAGCTGTCTGAGATAATGGTAAATGCTGGAAACAAAACAGCAAGAGAACAACAAAAATGCAAGGCATTAATTGAGACTGCTGCACATGCACAGGCCACAGCGTGTACAATTGTACACATACCATACCTTGATGCACTAGCTGTCTGAATGGTCCGAACTTGCGACGCGAATACTCTGGGTATTTGTTCATCAACTCCTTGGTCATCAGTTTCACATCCAGATAGGTCTCGTTAATGTGCTCCTCGAGATACTAAAGTAAAAAACATAAATGAGCAACGCCATACTGCGACCCTAACCTTGTTTCGTCCTCATTTTTTGCATCGGCATCTGGCGCCGTTTTGCCGGCTCGCTGCTTTTGCAAAAATTAGTTTCATTTGACATGTGACGCTCACCTTTTTCACTCGAATTGTAATCTGATGGTCGTGCAGCAGTGGCTTGGATTTCTTCATATTCTGAAATCTGACATCTGAAATAAATCAAAAATTCCACACGAGAACAAATTTTTGCTTACCGCAAAAGTAAACGACGCCGTCGAAATCGGTTTAATTTCGCGGTTTCCACTGCCTTGCTTTACGTACATCGATATTATTCATTGTTGCTTTTAATATTAAACAATATGCAGGGGAGGCAAATTTTAAAGCTGCTTAAAGTCTTAATACAAACCAAACTCGGTCAATATTTACAGCTAGAGCTATCAGAGTGTTTTGAGTTTATTTTAATATTAAATACTTCTTTTATTTATATATATCGATGTTTTGCATTTTATTTGCTACCAGTGGAAACACCTTATCGATGTCTTCAATCGTTTACCCTCACTGCCCAAAACAGCTGCTGCCGCCCCTTGCCTCTTTGCCCATCACGAACAACAACGAAAACACGAACTAGGCGCTGGAATTTATTAAGTTGCCAAATTAAATGTTTTACATCAACAAATGCTGGAAGGAAAATAATTAAAATTCGTGCTATGTACTGCCGCCAGTTGTCAAAACGAGTGCGTGCCATTGTTTGAAATGATGCACCAAATGATGATCTAAGAACAAAAGCTAAAACGCAGTGGACAAATCAAGTGTGGCAACAATAAGGGAACGAAAAAAAGAAAGCTTCCACAATGTGCGACGGTGAAATTTGTGAGCTAGTGACTCAGCAGCAAGCACGGCAGGCCGCACCGCAACGCATTAACGGCGGCGAAGAGGAAATGCCACAGGATCACGTTGTGCCCCAGAAGATACCTTCGCATGTGAGCATCGGCAACCCCATCGTGATCAAGACAATAGAGGCCAGCGACCCAGTGGATCCTTGTAAAGTGGCACTCTGGGGGCTGGACGAAGTGGAAGACTGGGCCATCATGGAGAACTTTTCCGTAATCCTGACTAACTGCATGCGAACGGAGCTAATTGACGGCGAGGTGCTGCTACTCCTGACTGAGGATGATGTCCGGGCCCTGCGCTACAATCTGGACTACAAGCTCTCATTTGGCGAGCTCAAAAAGTTCTGGCTGGCTCTATCCAGGCTCCAGAGGCTGGTGAAGCTCAGCTGCGCGTCCGCGGACGATCCCGTGATGAACGGCCAGACACAGAAATCCAATTCGCAGCCGCTGGTCGGCTCTGGTGGTCCGTCCTCGCCATGCGCCTGCCCGCCACCACAGCCGTTGGACTGCCCCAGCTATGTGTCCGACTGCGAAACGTATTTGCGCATGGGCAGAGGCTCCGTAGCCCCGGAGTATTTTAAGACCGCCATGAGCTTAGGTGAGTAGCAGCCCACTTGGCATGCAGGTAGTTTTCTAGTCAATTGGTGAAGGTCAATTGTTCATTGATTGTTTCTTTCACCTTATCGGTCGTGTGGAAATTGTTTATAGAGAGAGAAAGGGAAAGAGAGAGCACCTGCTATCGCCACCACCCATTTCCCATCCATCCATCTAGCGTATTCACGCTATCAGCTGTTTCAGTCATGAGTGTGTGTTGCTATTAAAAGTTCAATGCCACAGTCTTCCCCCCCACATACGTCACTTGAATTATGTTGTTAATTATAGTTGTAGTAGCTCTGGTGACGCGCGTTACTGATATTTATTTCTGTCTGCATTGGAGGTTATGTGGAAACGCCGCACGCTGAGCTCCCGCCTCAGCGCCTCATCACTCTCAGCGTCGTATATCGATGTGCAGGGGAATTTTCAGCCGAACCAGCCGTCTTTGTGTAACTTTGCGTGCATTAAATTTCAAATGTTGATTTTTTTTATAATTTGTTTATCATACTCACGAGTATGTGTGTTTGTGCGTAGCGTAGCCTTCAAGTGCTGGTGCCGCCTTGCTTTACTCGGAAACAGTGAACACTCGGCTTGGAACATTGGGTTTGCTTTTGTAACGACTACTTTCAGCATATTCCAGTTGGAATCGATGCCGTTTACCATCCTGGAGATGGAAGTTGTGACTCCTTTTTGTCAAAACTATTGAGATCTCTCCCTCTTATAGTTGCCGGGAATTTTCTCTCTTTGGAGAGAAACAATCCCAGAATGTGTTACTATATTGTTTTATTCCCTTCTTTAGCCTGACACAATTTAATCAGCTTAGTAACCGAGCTTCCCTTGCAGGTTACTCATTTGTCGTGACCTGGATAACGTCGTTCGTTATGGTGATTGTGCACGAGCGCGTGCCGGATATGAAGCGCTACCCGCCATTGCCGGACATCTTCCTTGACAACGTGCCGCATATTCCTTGGGCCTTCAACATGTGCGAGATCACGGGATCGCTGCTGTTTACCATTTGGCTGTTTGTCCTGATCTTCCACAAGTACAGAATGGTGCTGTTGCGACGCTTCTTTGCGCTGGCCGGCACCGTCTTCCTACTGCGCTGCGTGACCATGCTGATCACGTCGCTGAGTGTGCCGGGCACACATCTGCAGTGCAATCAGAAGGACTTTGCCATCGATGATACCAATGTGGATATGTTCGGTGCATTGGTTATGCGCATGACACGCGCCTATCGCATCTGGAGCGGATTGGGAATGTCGATACAGGGTGTGCGAACGTGTGGCGACTACATGTTCAGCGGCCACACCGTTGCCCTGACGCTGCTCAACTTTTTCATCACGGAATGTGAGTGCTGGCAAATGGCAAAATGCATCCATTGATTTACTGATTTATCCTTCTACTGCATTAATTGTAGATACGCCACGCAATCTATACTTCCTGCACACACTCACCTGGCTGCTGAACATGTTTGGGATCTTCTTCATATTGGCCGCCCATGAGCACTACTCCATCGATGTATTTGTGGCCTTCTACATCACATCGCGTCTGTTCCTGTACTACCACACGCTGGCGAACAACAGGGTAGGTGGCCCTGCACATTCGATTTACAGCGATTCTTATCCTGTTCTGTTCCTCACGCAGGCTCTCATGCAAAGCGACTCCAATCGGACGCGTATTTGGTTCCCCATGTTCAGCTACTTCGAGAGCAGCGTACAGGGGATAGTGCCCAACGAATTTGACACGCTCGGCACCCTGATCGATGGCCTGATAGATCAGATATTCAAGGCCAAGGACTTAATGATGGGTGGAGCATATCGCTACTGGATGGAGCGCCAGATGTCTGCCAAATCATCGATACATATGTTTGGCGCCGAATCGGACAGATTCATACAAACGCGCAGCTACAATTTGCGACAAACGGCAAGCAACGCGAGTGGCATTGCTGCCACACCGGTGGCCAGTGCAGCGTCCACGTCTCAGCCCCAGGCACAGAACCTAAATGGTGGTGTCAGAGACATCAGTCTTGATCCCTACTCCAGTGCGAGCGAGTCTTCGGCCCAGACGCTCGCCAATGTCCCGCTGCTGCGGGAGAAGAAGGTGCTATGATTCACCGCCATTTGGCTCTTCCATGGGGCTTGGCCCGACACTCTCAAATCCATTTATCGATGCCGTTCTTCGTAAAGCAACAACATGCTGAAAAAACAAAACAAACCACACCGACTGATATTTTTATTTCGAAACCTACGTTAAACCCCTCTTCCCCTTCCTGCAGCTCAGCTCTCCCCCTGTAAGTGTGCCTCTCTCTCTCACTCACTCACTCTGCATTCTACCACTCGTAGTGCCTTCCGGGTGCATGTGTATCCCCCCCAGTCCCAGGATGTCAGAACTATCATATATCTTCGTAGCCTTTCCCAATCGGTCCTTAGTTATTAACGTATTATTTGAACAAAAAATTCAATGGAGCAGCTATTAATGATAATCCCTCCTCATTCCGTTCAACGAAGCTTTGAACTAAATGTATTTATTATTGAAGACTTCTTTAAGGCATTATTTTATAATTGTAAGCATGTGAAACAAGTGTATTTTTAGTTATTTAGTGTTAAGCTGAAAGTTTCTGTTGAATGCACAAACAAAATCAATAAATCATTATGAATATTCTCAGAGAAGGCCAAACAACGAATTTTGAATTCATGGTTCTCCTTTTATCGCCCATTGCATGTGTATCCCCCCCCACGAGGTCAGAGCTAACATTCTTGCAGCGAAAAGTTCTGTTTCAATCATCAGAGAGCCCTATAAGAAATTTTCTGCATTAATGTTAATCATTTAAATATTTTTGAAATATATTTTAACTGTGCGTACCGCCCCGATTCAGGAACAGAAAATATGTAGATTTGTACATTATTTTGAGAAGTTTATTTCAGAATATTTCTTGTGTTGCTTCGAGCAACCCGGAGTCAATTCCAACTCTGAACCTAACTGATCTGGCAAATTCGTTATCTTAATATATATATTTACTTTCAATCAAGCAGAAAAGTTTCCAAGCGTTCACATTTTCTATACAGAACGCTCCCAAAGCGTCGCTATAAAAAAGAAAAACAAAAGAGTGAAATGTTTCCATTGCTTGATGAAGTAGAAGTCCCCCTCTTCCCTTTATGCAACATCCCTGGAGAGAGTATTAAAAGCAAGAGATAAGACCATATAACACTCGACTAATATTAAGTCAATCACTTTGAATGATGGCTTAACATGGCTTAGGAATGATGACAGCAGCCTCTGGCTCTGCTAAAATATGTATTCTGGAATTGAGTCATTTGTCGAGTTTATTCAGTTATTGATTTAGGCCATTTGGGGTACAAGTTGTGTTATTAAATAATAAAGATAATTATTATCGGACAGAATGGTGGCAGGGGTGTATAAACATAATAGAATTAATCAAATCTAACGTATCAGCGACACAAAACGTAAATTGAAAGACCAAAGGAGGCATTCTACAATTCATTGTTTTATTTTTGTTGTTGTTTTTTAATATAAAAATGGCATTTCTTTACTAATTGTAAGTTTAAATTACTAATTTAAAGTATGTATGATTGCGGTAATTGAAAAATATATATATATCATTTGTATATATATACATGTAATATACATATACAGATATATGTGTATATACATATATATGCTTGTGTATATTCTCCAAGGTGTGAAAAAATATGCTTAATGAACATGAAACGTCTTCTCTCAAGCGTATATATATGAAAGCGTTCAAGTTTTGACTTAAAGAATAACATTTTTTATTTTTTTTTTTGTTGTGGTTTTTATTGGTTTTTGTTTTGTTTTTTTTTCTCTCGGTTTCCATTTCCGTCTTGGGGCTTTTTTTTCATTTGTATTATAATATAAAGCAAATCGAAACGTTTCAGTTGGTTTGTGAGTGTCACTCACATCTTCTTGCAAAAGGAGGAAACAATTAACAAACGATATACTCGAGATGAAAGCACTCATTAAATCCTTCACTATAGTACAACTAATATGCAAAAATAAACTATGAATGGTTTTCGTGTGTGTGTGTGTGTTTCATGAGTAGCGAGTAGTGAGAGCTCTCTCCATGCTGATGCAGTTTCCTTTTGCGTAGTTCGATACTTATTTTCTTTACTTTTGTCCTTACTACTCCGAAAAAAACAATATAGTTCCGATATACGTTCATAATCATAATACCTTATATGCTAGGTGTGTGTGTGTGTGTGGTGCCTAACATTTACATTTACCAATTCTGTCTGTTATGCACGAAGCTACTTGAGGTTTCATTGAATCATCATTCATCATTCTCTCCACGGACGATGCACCATTCTGCATCTCCCATCTCCATCTCCGGATCTGCCTGTCCGTCATTCTGTCTATTTGTATAGTCCTTCGCACTAGATATTTCTTCTTTTTTGTTTTGTCATTTTTCTCGTTATGTGAAAACATAAATATAACAACAGATTATGTATTTGTTTTGTTTTGTGGGTTGTGGGGTTCGGTTCCTGCCTGCCGCCAAGTTATTCAATTCATCCCCTGGCCCTGGCCCTGGCGCTAGCCACAATACAATATGTATTTAATGTAATTCTAGTCGTAAACTATAACTCTGCTTCCTTCGCGTATATTTCAAAATATATATCATAAACACAATGTTTGTATGGTAGTTTTCTTGTATGTTGTTGTTGTTTTTTGTTTTGTTGTTGTTTAGTTTTCCTTATTTCTTGCTTTAGTTTAAATGAGGGCTGTTGTTGTCTCGGTAGATCTACCGTCCACATAAGATCGTAGTGCAATTATTAATTTCTTTCTTTTTTTTTTTTTTGGTGTGGCTCAAAAGCTCACGCAGCCTTACGACAAGTCTGAAACGATAGAGTGGTGATTAGGGAATGCTGTTTCCAATGACAGAGCAGAGGGACTTACAGCTAGGCGCTGCCTCGTAACGACGCTGTATCTGGTCGTATGTGAATTTCACAAAGGCATCGTACTGCTCGGCCAGTTTGGTGGTCAGCACGGACTCGTAGCGTTCGCGCAGCTGATTCTCGCGCTCCTTGATCATGCTCTCGCATATGAGCTGCACCTGTTTGAATGTGAACAGCGCCTTCTCGCCGTGGCGCATCAGGTTCGGTGGGCTGTCCGGGCGGCGCGGGCTCTCCGGTCCCATTTCAGAGCCGCTCGACTCGGAGTCCTGCATGCGCTCAATGGCGGCCGCTGTGATCGGCAATTGCTTGCGCTTGTGCAGTCTTTTGATTTCATTGCACAAGTTCTCGGCCATTTTGTCTGCAGGTGACAAAAAAAAAACAAAAAGGATATATATATCAGCAGCGAAACGAAAAAAAGTTCCTTACCAGGCGACATCTTGGCCAGAGCGGCCTCCGAGAATGGGCTCGGCTCGGTGCTGTCTTTGGCATAGCGATTGCTGGGCGTGTGCGTTATCCCCGAAGAAATGGTGGGTCCATCACGGTCCATCCGCGACGGGGAGCTGCTGCCCGACTGGCCGAAGGGATTGCAACGCCTACGCTTGGGGGGACGCTGGTTCAACGACTCCCAGTCTGAGGTGCGTTTCAGTGTTGCACAGGCCATCGCTATTGTTAAGGTTCTCGGTGAAAAGTTGGTAAATTTGTAGCTGGGTAAATTTGTTTCTGATTATTGCCACAGTTGTTGCACAGCTGCTGTTGAAAGCGTCGTGTTCTTCCCTGTGAGAGTCGAAGAGAGAATAATACTCAATGGATTAGAGGGGTTCTCGCACCTTGCTGGGAACGGATCGAAAACTGGTTTCAAGGAAAAACAGGATTCACTTGCCACACACACACACACACGCACACACACACATACAGAGTACAACCAATAAAAGAAAATGGTGCAGCGATTTATGGCCTGTCAGGCAGCGCAGTCCTTTTGGCCTTTTTCCCGCAGAATATAGCTTGATTATTGAAGTGGCTTTATCTAATCACAGTTTGGCTGTGATTTTCGTTAGATTTAAATTCGAAAATAGAATTGAATGTTTAAAGATTACTCGTTCCGTGGGCTCTACGATTATTGGGGGTCGTAAAAACACAATCTAGCTTTAGTTTTCAGCTCTTTAGCTGTTTTGAAGCTAACGGAAACCGCTTAGAGGGCAACACTAATGCCCTGCAAGCAGCTGCTATAATGCTATCGCCGCAGGAAACAAAAAAAAGGGCGATTCCAAAGAGAAACGAAACCAAAAGGCGCAGCGCAATTACCAACACAACTACAAATGCATAGCAATGCAGAGGAAGAAAGAAAGGTGTAACCCAATGCCAGAACAACCACCACTACCACTACCAGGATAATGCGTAGTCTTTGAAAGCGGCCTAGCTTGACGTGCGGCTGTACCAGCTGTTTTTCCTCACTCACACTGTCTCGCACAGCAGGGTTCAATCAATTTGCAACACGTGCGAAAATGGCCGTTCCGAGCTGGTACATCGAGATACAATTTGCACCGTTCGTTTTTAATAACCATTAACGTTTAGGCGTTTTACGTGACATATACCGAGGCCCGAGGAGATTTGCTTTCAGAAGAAGCCCAAAATGACAGCAACTAATGCGATCACAGTGGTTGTCTCGCTCTGGCACACACACTCGTTTGGACACGCACACTCGCACAGCCCAGCACAGCTGCAAGTGTGAGTTGGAATGTTGATTTCATGAAATTTTAAAAATGGTCGAATCGTATATCATTATCAGCGCCGCCCAGTACCCGTACTGGAAATCTGGCAAGAAATATGTGGCCGCACGCTTTTCACACCACCATTTCACTTACTTTGTTGGCTTTTCGGCGTTGCACTATGTATATATTTCCGTCGAGTTTCTGCACCACTTCACACGCGCTTTATTTACTTTTTTATTGTATTTTACTACTACTCCTCCGCTGGCACATACGCACGCACAAATGATTCAGATTGCAGTTAAGTCGTATAAGTGATATATAGTTATAATATTGCTTGCTAGTTATTTGAGCAGTATTTCAAAGGCCACTGAAATGCACTGTCGTTAATTGTTTGGTTTATTGTTAAGGTTCCCTTAATTTTTAAATTTTTCCGTCAGATTTTTAACAAAAATGGACGACGATACGTGACGAATAGAGCTGGAGAAACATCGATGTCATCGATGTTTGAGTGTGGCTGCAGACATCGATGATTTTTCTCAAACATCGATGTTTTTAGTTAAATAGAATAATTTACAAATTTCATATTTTAATGGTTAAAAAGTTGATTTTTAGTTGTATATACTAAATAATATACATAATGCAACTGTATATACACTTTTTATATACATACATTCACAAATTCACATATTCAATTTAACCCACTAAGGGCTGCTTCTAGACTGCTTGATGAAACTTTCATATGCCACGCTTATTATAATATTTATTGAAAAAATAATTGTACCTCCACGAATACCTAAGAACAGATGAGTATTTAAGCACCATAGTTATTTTCTTAGAAACAAATAACTATGTTTTCGACCAAGTTTTGTTATTAAAAACACTTCGGCACATAATGTGTTAAGCTACACAACAATTTTAATAACATCAATGTTTTGCTGTCGAAATATTACTGTGAGATAATATTACTTTTTGTAAAGGCTCCTTGTGGCTCCATCTTCCTCTTTACTTACAAAACAAAAACACCGACATCTTTCACCTGTAATGTGTAAAATATGTTAAAGTTACATACATTTCGTGGAAACATTAAATACCCCTGGGCGAAAATTGGATAGCGTTTTATTTTATTGATTGAAATCGTATTTCATGATTTTGATATTCAGTTTAATATTACCAGCTAGTTAGCCCTCTCAGAACGAAACATAGAATTTTATCCAATTCATCAATCAATTTTCTACAAGATTGGCTAGTTTTCAGAACTCCTTTTTATTGAAGAGAGCGAATGTCACATCGAAAAAAAGAAAATTTTGAAAAACCTCCACGATTTGGAGAATGGCAATCAACTAGAAGTTTAAATAGATTAAGAATATAATAATAAAATATAATATTTATAATAGATTAATTGTTGAGTGAAATCTAATTCAAATTCATCGATGACACAGCTATCGCATAAAAAGATCCAGTTCCGTTCGGTGGTTCAACTACAAAGTAGGAAATAATTCCAACAATTGAAAATTTTAAACTTTTTGCACTTTTCTACAAGCCACTTTTTGTCCGCGTCTTCGCAGCAATCATCGAGCCGCAGTAGTCAATCTTTTGCTCAGTGCGTGCACGGAAATAACAAGAAAACATTACGTATCAGCAGCAATAGCAGCATCGTAGGGGCCAAGAGCAGAAGCAACGAAAAAGAAAGATCTAAAAATATTTTAATCGTCGTACGTCGAATATTTTCATAGACAGAGCTTTAATTGACAAAACAACGCACTAATAAACGCGAAAATGGTATTAAAAGTCTACGTCAGCGGCATGTCCGGCAACAAGGAGGTGAGTGTGGAGTGTCGTGGGCGGGGCGGCATGGGGCGAGGCAAAGCCTGCATAGAATTGAGCTGCAGTGCGACGGCTCTGGTGTCATGTTAATGGAATGTTTGGGCCCAGTCATTAGCAGCCAACAAACTTGGATAAAAGACGGGTGACGAATGCACTGCAAATTCTATTTTATTCCTCAGCCGTTCTTCTGCTTTTTGTTCGCTGGTGTGCGTGTGGCGATGATGATATAGTGTGTGGTGTACAGTCGAAACGTCATGCTAGCAAGTGGGTATTTTCCTTATGGCTGTGTGTGTGCGTGTGTGGTGGTGGCAAGAAGCAGCACAATGACCGCAAACATTTCATTGCCCATTTATGTATAAGCTTTTTTTTGTGTCTGTCAACTGTGGATCTGTTCAACTGTAAAAGAGAGCGCATTCATTGATCACAGTTGCTTCTACATATGTGCGCAGCTGTGTGTGTGTGTGTTTGCATGATTCACTTTTCCGCTCTTCTCCTTTGTTCCATTTGCATATTTCGAATAAGAACAATAACATAGCGGGCTTTGTGCAGGCCATCGACAGCAACAACATAAAGCGGCTACGTTGACAACAACAATGAGGGCGTGAGTGAGAGCGCGACTTTGCTGTCATTGTTTGTTGTTCCTGTTATGATACCCCTTACCTGCAGAGCAGAAAGGTATATCAATTCTTCGCAAGCAGGGTAGAATCCGTTTGATCCACTGCAAACTACATTATCATAAATGTTTGAACGATTTCCAGAGATGTTCTCGGAGTGTTCTTTAACTTAAAATAACCATTAAATCAGTTTCGTTCGGAACTGTAGCTAACGAAAACCTGAGTTCGCGTAGAGGGTGTGTCTTAGTCGAAATATCCACTACATCGTTTCTACTCTTGTGGTGAGAGCGGGTGCGTCAGTTTCTAAATAAGTGCGTGAAGTCAAAGGAAAACCGTGACAACTCTTTATCGTGTGATAATTACACAAAACAAACAGTTCCAATTGGATTTCCTTATCGGGCTTCCAAGTGTGTGGATGTAAGTGTGTGCGTGCAAACACAAACAGGCTTGCCGGTAGAAATTCATTCACAATAGCTGCCCGGGTATCGACTTGTACTAATATCTAAATACTTCTAATTCCAGGTTAAGAAGCGCCAACAGCGCGTCCTGATGATCCTCGACAGCAAGAACATCCAGTATGTAAGTAAAATTACCTTAAAGTTTTCTATTTACTGCTCCAAGCAGTCGTACCAATTGCTTAATTATAATTAATTATAAAATTATATCAATTTTCTAGGACACCGTGGATATCACAGAGCCCGGCAAGGAGGGAGAGAAGGAGATGATGCAGAACAAATCTACCAGCAATGGCGGCACTGTCAGCGACCCCGATCCCCGGCACCCGCTCCCTCCGCAACTATTCAACGATGCGGAATACTGCGGCGATTACGACGCCTTCGACAACGCCAACGAGATCGACACCCTGGAGGTGTTTCTAAAGCTGGCTCCCGCCGACACCACGGCCGTGAGCAGTGCCCAGATCGAGCTTAAGCAGGAGAACGGCGATGCCAAGAAGGATGAGAAGGAGACAGAAAAGGATGAGGCTGCACCCGCGGACGAGGCTGCTGCAGAGGCCAATGGCGAGGCGGGGGAGAAGGCAGAGGTTTGAGCTTAGGCCATTTACCGTATTTTCCGTTAATTGTTATGAAGCGACACAACACACAACAGAAAAAGCAAAACTACCAGTAAAAATAACAGCAATATAATTAACATCAACTTTAACAGCTAGAGCCACACTGGTGGCCGGCATAATGCTAACAGTAGCAAATAACCCCTCATGTTATCTAACAGCGTATCAGCACTTCCAAGGTTATCTATCGTCTATTATTATTTTTTCAGTCATAAAAAATGGATAAATTGCACTATAACAATTTATCCATTTGTATGGCATAGCTGAAATTAATGATGACCCTGCCACATTACCACCCATCTACCCACATATATCTGTCTCTCTAAAGTAAAGGCGCTTGTATTTGTGTTCTTTAAAAAATTATATTACCCCGACGACTGCAATTCTTAAGTTCTAAGTTTCCAAATTTTAGACACTGCACACGCTCTTAATTTAATTGTGTCAACACTGAGAAAAAAAGACAATTTTAATCAAAATATTTATTATCATTAACCACTACATGCGACACCGTCTGTATGTATGTGTGTTCAGCAGCACACTTTAGGTTCTCATAAGCTTAAGTTCCATCATCTTGAATGAGAGTGTAGAAGAAAGCTGTATCGTTTGTGCAGCAGTTATGTTAATGCGAAAACATAAAAAGCGCTGCCTATATAATGAAAAGGAAATATATTTGTATGAACTTAAAAAAAACTATAACCAACAGCAAGGCTTGTTTTCCTAACACTCTCGTCTAACCCTGCAATAATCCACACTTACACATTTTGCAAAGCCGCGATTGTAGAACGCTAGAACTAAACAGTGGTCCTAGCTCCGCCACGCTAGAATGCCGGCTTGACAGCGATGCCGAGACTGTAGAATGCCAGCACTTAACAGCGAAGCCGCAACTGTAGAATGCCAGCACCTAACCAATGGTAGTAACTGTTCTCGCGCCTGTTCTCCTTTGATGTATCTAATGAATGTGTGCGTGTGATTCTCCCAAAGAAGAAAGACGAAGAAGGCGCTGAGACTACGAGCGAGGATAAGGAGGCAGATAAGGCAGGTGGCGAGGGCGAAGGTGCAGAAGACAAGGAAGAGAATGGCGAGGAAAAGGTAATAGACCCATAAGAGAGTTGCATGGAAAAGAGCTAACATAAGAGAAGTAGGTGGCTTAGGAGCTAACAAAGGCATGTTCTTGCACCGTAGTCGCCACGACCGATTTCTGATCGTATCTTGTACTATATGCATTTTCCACTTCCCCCACCCATAAAAACCATACATAAACACACGCACCACCCCCACAATCCGCCCCCATATACCAGACTGAAACCGAAGCTGACGAAGAGTCAGGGGACCAGGCAGCGACGGAGGACTCGACAGGTAAAGAATCGAAGGAGCAGCAGGATGAAGCTGAGAAACCGGAGGGAGAAGAGGAGTCCAAAGAGAAGAGCGAACAAGAAGGTGAAAAGGACACCGGAAAGCCAGAGGAGGAAGCCGATAAGAAGGCCAAGGTTGATGGAGAGGCTGACACTGAAGAAAAACCATTGGAAGAAGAGGATGAAAAGCAGATAGTTGAAGAGGCTGGTGGGAATAAAGTAAAAGAAGAAACTGAGAAAGAAACCGATAAGGAGAATGCAGAAGAAGAAGTAGAAGAGGAGAAGGAAGCTGTGGCGGAAAAGGAGACACAGGAAGAAGACAAAAAAGAGGACGAAGCTGAGAAAGGTAAAAATGAAAAGGAGCCGAAGGAGGACGAAAAAGAAGAAGGTAAAAAAGATGACGACAAAGAAACTGCCGAAAAAATAGCAGTGACTGAAAAAGAGGCCGAAGAAGATGTTGAGGGAGAAGAAGCAAAGAAGGAACAGGATGTGGATGAAACAGAAACCAACAAAGCAGAAGAAGCAGCCGCGTCCGAAACAGTTGAGACCGAAGATGCTGAAAAGGAGGCGGAGAAAGAAGAGGAAACTCAAGAAGATGCCGCCTCAGAAGATGCTGAAAAGGAGGCGGAGAAAGAAGAGGAAACTCAAGAAAAAGACGCCTCAGAAGATGCTGAAAAGGAGGCGGAGAAAGAAGAAGAAACTCAAGAAGAAGCCGCCTCAGAAGATTCTGAAAAGGAGACTGAGAAGAAGGAAGACGCTGATACAGAGAATGCCACGCCCAAAGAGGATACAGAAGAGGGCAGCAGTAAGCCGAAGCCTGCTGAAGAAGGTGACGACAAGGCAGAGACCTCCTCCTCATCCGGAGAGGAAGAGAGCAAGACGGAGGAATAACTGTAAACAACCCAGCAACAAAAACAACAAAATCCACGCACAGTCACCTGTATCCAAAGTGTATTAATGTCTGTCACGAAATTCGCATACCCTGTTGCAGTGGCTTGTGACTTGAAGCAAAGAGATCGAGAGACAACTTGTATTTGGACACCTTGGAACGAACGAACGAGCCGAAGAATCCACACGGCACACCCACATGAAACACACACACACTCGCACGCACACATTTAGCACATAATGCAACAATTTCTGTAAATAATAAAAAGAAAACCCACTAATCACACAAATTCAGGTGGTGGGTAACGAACCTTAGAGTAATGCTTGTAATACACCCCTCCCTCAGCTCTAGTGTTTTTTCAACAATTTTCTTACTTCCCAACCACCCATCCGACGTCACATCCACAACGCAGCGACAACTTTCTGTAACGACAACAGCAACAACAGCAGTTGCAGCAGCCCCCCCATCTGTCGACCAGCCCACAACAGCCTCTGACCGGCTATTGGAAAGCGAGCGTGTTGCGACTGCGCAGTAGACGACAGCAGAGGGGCAGGCAGGCAAGGCAGTCAACAGCAGCGATTTATTTATGTGTATCTTCCGACTGCGCAGCCTGGAATGTGGAACTCGTTTGCGCTTCGAATTTATTTTGGAAATTATTATTATTTTTTTCAGTGTTTTTTTGACCACAAAAATATTCAGTAAACGAACGGGTACATGATTTACGTTTCTCATTTTAGTTTTTGTATCCAAATAACTAAATATACAGTACATTATAATTATGTTTAGTACAGTACACGGTAAAATGAAGTTTATAATTATTTACGCTCTAGTTCGGGGTCTTTTCCATTATAAAACTAGTCAAAATGCGAGGGGGCTCTCGCCACGCGAAAATCATTTACTAAAAGGAAAACAGGGCGGGGGAAAGGGTTTGCTGTTTGTTTCTGCTGCATATATCTCTGCGGAAAGGAGGGATATATATTATATTCACTCGCAGGGGCATCAGCAGCCGCGATTGCGGTTGCGATTCGTCACTGTCATGCTATGCTCGGTCGCTCTCTAGTCGCTCTCCTCCTCGTCGGACGTGTCTGTCGTGTAGTCACTCAGATTCTCTTGCTGATCGTTGTGCTCCGGCTCGGACTCGCTTAGATCCCACTGGGGATGGTCTGTCGGTGGTGCTGGCGCCTTCTGCACGTCCAGCTTAAGCTCTTGTTGCTGATCCATGCCCAGGTAAGAGTCTGAAATAGAATTAAAATTATTATCTGCAGTCGGAATGCAGTTCCTGCAAGTCTACGCACCCGATCGAAGGCACACTGTGAATGTGTAGACGCCAGGCCAACGCGGCGCAGTAAACTTCAGCTGGATCTCCTCCTTCTCGACCAGGTTCGTGACGTGGTAGGGGGCCGTGAGGAGCGTGCGCGACTTGCGGTCACAGATGTAGGTCCACCAGTATTCTTGTTTCTCCTCGGGGAAGAAGGGACAGTGGACGGTGTGCGATAGGCGCGACTTGCCCTCGAGACGCTCGCGCTTGTTCAGCTTCTGCTGCAGGCGCTCCCACTCCTCGTCATCGTCGTCGTCGAGCGAAGAGTTGTTCTTGTTCTGCTTCTCGTCGTCCTCGCTGACGCTGCCGGCGACCGATTCAACATCGCTGTGTTCCCCGCCATCCGATTCTGCCTCGGAGTTGGCGGCCTGCTCCTCGGACGCTGCGGCCGATGTCGACGCAGTCGCTGCCACGTTGGCCGCCTTGGGCGGCACCTTCTTCTTTTGGTTGTTGGCGGGCTTTTTGCCGCCCTTGCCCTTGCCACCCTTGCGGGGCTTGGCCCAGGCCGAAGCCTTCTTGACGGGCACAGCAGCGGCCGCAGCCTCGTCGTCATCCCCAGCAGCCTCTTCGTTGGCCTCATCGTTGATGCCCTGCTTCTCGGGTGCCTTCGTATCGCCGAACAGAGTCTTCATGTCCTTGCGCTCAAGCGTCACTGTGACCGTGACAATGGCCCCGGCGGTGACTACATTGGTGTTCTCGTCGTCAATGACCTCGCAGCGTATGGAGAAGTCGATCAGGGGCATTTTGCCCAGCACTTTCATGGTATTCTCATACTCGAAATCTGTGAGATTCTTGAGCAGCGTGCGGCCCTCCTCCGGCTTCAGCTGAGCGAACTGCTGCAGATTCTTCACGTGCCGCTTCTTGTTCATGAAGTACAGATGGTCCTCGGTCAGGTGCGGCAGCTGCAGCAGCGGCGACTTGAACTCCCACAGGCCCTGGATGATCATCGGCGACATCTTCATGCAGTTCTCGATGGTCTCGATGCTGGGCAGGCGTGGCACACGCCTGGCATACGCCATCATCACTAGCTGGTGCACACAGGAGACCATCTCCTGCACCAGATACGGGCACTTCTTCACAATGAACTGACGATCGCGCTCCAGTGTATCCGGGTGGAGGGTCATCCGTGAGAGATGGGCATGCAGGATGGCGCGCGCCTTGATGGAGTACATGCGGCAGAGCGGATGCTCCTTGCACTTCTCGTTCAGATTAGGCAGCTGGCGGATGAGCTGTATCGAGATATCAAAGATTAAATCTAGATGGAACAGGAATAAAATACGCAGATTGACTAACCGCTGGAACTTCGTCGTTGTCCGATTGTCGCTCCGTCACCTGGGAGTTGTGTCGCTTGTCGAACTCCAAGCTGGCAGCCAGCACCATCAGGGCTCGCTTGAGCAGCATGTGCGGGGTCTTGTGGATGAAGTAGAAGTACATTTGGGTGGTGTCGAGGAGCACCTTGTCGCCGCTGAAGCGTATGGAACGGTACCACCAGACGCCCACGGCCGAGGGCATGGCCACCATGAAGACGAGACCGTACAGGCCCAGCACCCACACGCTGTTCTCCTTCTCCACAATCCACGAGGGCAGGGCAATGCCAAAGGACATGGCACCGGGGCCATCTGGATTGCCGTACTTTTCATAGTTCTCCTTGGCCACATCGTCGGTGAGGGCCTGGTAGGCCTTGCTGAGCATCATGAACGACTTCTCGTCGCCCGTCTCCTTATCCGGATGCAGTATCTTGGACAGCCTGTAGTAGGCCTTCTTGATCTCAGCCTGCGAGGATGTGGGCGGTACATTGAGTATCTCAAAGGGATCGAAGCTGGCCATTTCATAGTCAAACTGCGAGACCCGATATGTGAGGAATAGCAGCAGGGCCCAGCCCAGCACTATGACGAGCTTGATGGTCCACGACCTGAGGGCTCTGTATGGCTCGGCATTGGCCAGAATTGTCTTCTTTTTCCTGCAGTCGTCGCACTGGCATTCTTCATTGCGCTTGCCGGGATCTGCAAAGAATTTGGCAATTAAATAATGCTGTGATCTTGACAAGAAGTATGGTAAAATTTGGTTGTAACCTAAGAGAAAGCAACACTTTTTGTTTGCTAAGAGAATGTTTAAAGCTTTCTGAGAAGAGAACTTTCGCTGAACGCACATTGAGAAATCGTTTGTTCCTACCGCTCAAACAATTTCGGAAAATGCAACCATACTCTCTTTCTCTCTCTTTCAGAGAGAATAACTGGATTTGGATTAAAGAGAAAGAGTGTCTCGTTTTATACGATGGCGCCTCACGATAAGTGGGCCAACTCCACATACATACACACACACACACACACACACACGTATGTACGTGATCACTCCAGAGCAGAGCAGCCCAATCGGGAACACTGACATCGCGATATGGCAGCGACGTGTGAACGCATGGAGTATTGTTTGGTGTGTTGTGTGTCCCAATTGTGAAGTGAGCCCGACTTGAAATTCGTTTAAGCGCAGCTTTCACCAATACGAAGACGCTGCTGAGGTGACGTTGTTAGAATTAATTATTGGAACGTGTCCATTTGCAATTGCGAGCGGAAAACACATGTACTGTACACTGTTGTTGGGTGGGGGATAAGCACACTCACACACATGCAGGCCACACAAACACAACCACACAAATTCGCGCTGCAGGTGGAGTGGAGAGCGATTATAATCAGGCAGAAGAGAAGGCAGCACTAACCTTCTTTCTTTTTACGTGGCCAATAGTAAATCGTCGTTGGTATCAATATTAGGGCCAAGAACGATAGCACAAAGTAGTAGAACGTTCCGCCGCTCTCATCATATTGGAACTTTTGACCCGCCATCGATGCTGCTACCGCCTATATGTGTAGGTAGTAGTCTGGGCTATATACAAAGATTATCAGCGCGCAGCCTTTCTTCAATTTGCTGCCAGTCTGGAGTCGAGTCGAGTCTCGTCTGGTGTGTGGTCTTTTTCCACTTTTCTTCTCTTCGCTGTGGCGGCGGCGGCGACTGCAGCTCCAGCTGATGGTTTGGCACCTGGCCAAAGGCTTACTGTTCAATTATTAATTAAACTTAATGTTAGCGAACGGGAGTAAGCAGCATGGGCTGTTCTGTATCAGCAACTTTACCGACTTTATATGCCGAAATATTAAAAAAACTATTTACACCGACGCATGAGACTGACACGTAGGGTTGTTTGGCTCACGGACGAACTAGTTCGATTCTACCGGTTCGGTTCCCCTATCGACTACCGATTACATTTGTTGCGCCCGAAGAAGATTTTTTATCTCTGCAATCCCGCGCATCTTCAGATGCTGCAACGGATATTTATATTTAAATTTGCGCTGCGTGGTGCGATTTATGAAATAGATTATAACACTTTTTTAAATACGGTACGCAACGTATTCTTTGTCCAAACAATAAAAATTGCATAATTATATTACAATGAAAATCGAATACAACATCTTTCAAATGCCTAGTATTTGATCAGCAAAAGCACTAACCATACAGTATATAGATGTGACAGTTCATACACCGAACGTGTCTCAGCTGAGTTTTCTGCGGTTTCGGAAAATAAGAATTCATAAATATTTTGTCGTATCTGTGTACACACATAGACTTGCAATTCTCGGCTTGCTTTCGCATCTCGTCATGAATCGAACGTGTCGAAAAAATGCCGAACGTCTCAGGCCCATGATCCGAACGTATCAGCACCCCAGCCGAAGGCCTGGGGGTGCTGGGACAGAAAACTCAGCTGCGACACGTTCGGTGTATGAACTGGCACATCTATATACAGTATGGTTAGTGTCTATATACTGTATGGTTAGTGGCAAAAGCGATCGCACACAAATTAAAATGTTTTATTAAAAAATTCCTATAAAATTAACAAACATCGATAAGTGCAGCCGGCGCAGATGCAGCTCTGCAAACTATCGATCACTGCAACTGTTCGTGTGCCGGTGTTTGATGGTATTTGTCATTTGATTTGATCATATCGCATTTATAAATGGGTTCATTCCCGCAAAAGGCAACATTTTGCAGTTGAAAGTAGAAGAAAGTAGTAATGGCAGAGGCGAACAACAATATTGACAGGACTGCCCGCACCGCCGGTGAGGTTCAGCAAAATTTAGCAGAGTCTCTCGGCTATGCCGAGGAGATTATCTGGGACCTGTGAGTATTGCGCAGTTTTCTTGCTGCACATGGCTTGGCGCACTTGCTAATGACATCATCCAACCCTAGCTTGTCCCAAGAGCAGGAGCACATCTTGTTGCAGAAACTTAGGGAGCTGGTGCGCGATCCGGAGCCACCATATGGTTCAACGGAAAGCCGTGAAGCCGAGACCGCACGGATGAAGCAAATCGGCGCCAATGATAAAATTCGAAATACGATCTTTAATGCCGTTTGGGAGCAGCGTAAGAGCACTCACTAAATCGGTCCAATCAAAATGTCACTCAGCTTCTTTATATCCAGGAAAATATACAAATCGCCAGTCGCTCACATCCATTATATACGTAATGGTTGCCAACGTGGAGGACGTTAATCGCGCGGAGAATTGTCAGTCATTTTCTTGTCACCCGGTTTTCCGCGGGCGTCGTTGTATCAGTAAGTCATGCGATTAGGCCCTCCAAAGATTCTGTACCTATCCCTTTGTATTCTCCTTTTGGCCAGCCGGAAGCAGTGGTACAAGCAGCGATAGCTCCAACTGCTGCATGGTGTTCTTAGATGAAAACGGACGCGTCTATCAGAGCTGGGCCTCGTATGTGGACACAAATGAGCTGCCCGCCGGTGTGATGATTGCCCCCGAGCGTGGCATTTACAAAATGGTCAATGGACGGGTCAGTTTGGATAAGTACACTACGCCGGCTGGCACCACCAACAGAAAGGTGCTCGGATATCTGGACACGGGCAGTGCGATCGGCGGTTTTGCAGCTGCATGCATTCCTGTGGCCGCTCTCCTCACGCTGCCGGTGTCCGCGCCCCTGATGGCGGCTGCCGGGGCCGTGGGCCTTGCCACTGCCGGCTATGCCACGGCACGTTCCAGTGTCAAGCTGATGGATCGCAGCCAGCATGAGCAGTCGATCAACGTGTCGGATCGTGAGGCGCGTGGCCACTGGCTGGGCGTAATCGCTGGTGCCGTGGGACTGGGCGCTGCAGGTGCTACCAGTGTAATGTCAGCGGCCACTGCCGCCGGCCAGGAGGTGGGAGCGGTAAGTGACTCCACCACTCACCCATCACCCTGGAAGAGTCTTCTCATTCTTTGAATCCTCTTACAGATCACTCAGTTGACTGTCAATGGGATGAACATATCCTCGATTGTCATCTCGGGCACTGGTGTGGCCAATGGGGTGCTGGACTTGATACTGGTAAGCCATCCGTCGCATTCTATGGACTTTCTCTAATGTCTTTCCTGCAGAAATACCAGGACGGCGATGATGTCACGGCCATGGATGTGCTACAGCTTTCGGCCTCACTGGTGCTGTTTACGCACAGCGTTTACAACTTCCGTTTGGCATCGACCATTATCAATGACACGGCCAACAGCAAGATAGGCAGCTATCGCGAGACTCTGAGCAATCGCCAGCGGTAATCATGATAAGCTTTGGATTTATAATCCTTTCTCTCTTTACGGCTTTCGGTATTGTTGCAGGCGCGCCTTTGATAAGGTGTCCAAGGAGACCATACGCATCCGTGGCAACACAAAGGGCAAGCTGGACATAATACGCGGCGTCAACGAGGTGCCCTCAAAGCAGCAGTTCAACGATCTGTACAAGATCAACAAGCAGCTGAACAAGGAGGGCGTGCGGGCTGCCTTTGCACCCGATGGCAAAGGATTCGTGCTGAACGACCAGGTGACCGCCAACGCGGCGGATCTGCGTGCCAGTGTGCAGCACAATCAGGGACCCGATATACTGGGTCAGGTGAAGCAGCCGATTCCCACCACCCACGAAGCTGCGACCAGTACCAAAACGATTGGTGGGTCCCGCCTGCTGGGTCCCAATCCGACTGCCCTCGACGGGCCAGAGCCCACCAACTATGCCGTGGGCGCGTTCGGCCTCCAGCTAAGCTCCGTTGTGGTCGGTGGTGTGGTGTTCGTCCTGAAAGATTACGGAGAGATGATATTCACACACATTGTCAATGCCGAGAGCATTGAGAATTTGATCACCAGCATGGCCGAGCGCCTGGAACCGGAGGTCTTCAATTTCATCATGAATCTGACGCGTACCTTCATGGACACGATGCTCGAGGAATTAACGACGGTGCTGAAGTTCTTCATTGCCACCGAATCGGTGATGTACAGGATCCTTAAGTTTATTCTGGACAACTATAGCGCTGCGGCCTACGATCTGATTGTGGAGCACACCATGGATATTTTGCAGGCCGTCAGGGCCTACTACATGGCGCTGAACCCGAACTCGCTTTCCGAACTCGTCAAGAGGTGTGATGTCTGCGAGGGCTACTACAGCATCTGTAAATTGTAACCAAGTCGCAAATTTAAACTCTATATCATCATTATCTTTAACTATTACACAATTCCCCAAGAAGAAAGGAGAAACAAATCCAAACCCAATCCACAAAGTGACTGCGATAGCAGCGTAACCAAATAAACCATTATAAATGAGCACAACTTGACAACAAAATACAAATTGGCTGTACGAATTTTGATAGAATTTACAATGTACACAATTTTAACTAATTAATAAAGGATGTTTTTTGTTATTCCTGTCGTTTTCCTGTTCTATTGCTTGAAGCCGAGAGTATCTAGCGATATATTCGTCTCAGAGAGTATCATAGGAGCGATATGAACGTAGTTCTTGCTGCTGGAGAGGAATGATTCCTTCGCAAGAGTAGCATAAAGCAGCAAGCAATTGGTATTTTGCGCTGCTCAGTGTTGGAACAACGTGAAACTTATTCTTAAAGTATTCAAGTATTTACCAGCCTTATCCGTGTACCACCAATAAATACAGAAATAGCATATAGAGCGTTGGGCAGTCAGGTGTATTGTTTCCGACACTGGCAGCAAGGACGCTCTTAAAACAATTGGAGACAATTGAAAAGAGGATAACAAAAATGATTTGAAATTTAATAAATAAATGAAATTATAATTTCTGCATTTAGTTTACTCGCTTCTCGTTCTCGTTACAGTAAAGTAATTAAAATAATGATAAGGATAATACTTAAGAATAACATCGTTCGATATCTCCTGCACAGATTGCCATGGAGAGAGGCAGCCAGGCCCCGAAAGCGTGAGATTTGTTAGCTTTTGTTTTGTTTTGTTTGTTTGTTTTTTTTTTTTGCTTTCTTTATTTCACGAAGACAACACAGACATATTAAGATCCAAAATATATATATATGTATTTATATATATAGATATATATGTGTATACGTGTAGTTATGTTTTGTTTGTGGCTTGTTCCTTGCTGAAAATGTACGTGTGAGTGTGTGGTGTGTCTGTTATGTGTGGCATGCGTGTAAATTGTTTGTTTCCTTGTGTATTTGTGTGCGTCATCCGAAGGGAGAGAGAAAGAGGGGAGGGAGGATCGAGTGAAGTGGAGTGGATTGTGGATCCAACCATCCGCCCAGCTTAGACACGCGACAATTGCTGCAGCAAGTTGCACGGCCAGAATGCCTCGACGCGCTCTTTGAGCAACTGAAACGGATACGAGATCCAGGTAAGTACTGTCTGTGCCAGCAGGCCCATCGGCTCCGGATACTGATGCGTGAGGAGGGCCAGCAGGGCCGTGAAGGAGCAGAGACCAGCGGTGAAGAGTATGAAGAACGGCAGCTCCTTTTTGGGATAGACGGACACCTCGTGGAAGGCCGGCAGCAGTTCACGATCGGCGCACTCGGTGCACGTTGGATATGGATAGAAGAGATGGCCGCGCTCTAGCGGATACGGCAGCATACGAAATGTGCCCTCCCAGGTGCAGTGCAGCAAATTGAGGGCACCCTCCACCTGCTTCCAGTGCTTCAAATGGAAGAATGCATAGGCCAGGGCCTCGGAATCGCCGCGCTTCAATATGTGCTCTGGCGGCAGAATGAGCGGCTTCGTCTCCAGCAAATACTTGGGCACATGCGGATTGAATTCGACTGCCCGATGAATGGCCTCCACGGCACTCATCTCGGCCGGGCTCAGGCCGCGCTTCGAGGCAATGTCCGGCGAGAATTTGTCGGCAACGGCGCGCGCCTTCAGCAGCGCCGCCGTATAGCAAATGGTCGCCGATTTGGGCAGCGAGATGTCATCGTACTTGGCCAGTATGGCGTGGCAATCGGCATAGGCCTGCATCTCCAGCAGCGTTTCGATGAGATTCTCGTGAATGTTCAGCACGCTCATGATGGAGGGTATCTCCTTGGTGAGGTCGCGAAACATCTTGGCCGCCTCCTTCAACTTGCCCAGCTTGCGGGCGCACATGGCCAGCCGTCGCTTGATGTAGATCAGCACATTCGTGTCCCTGCGATGCATGCCGTCTGCGATGGCCCCCTGATGCTGGGTGGCCTGCGACTTGCGATAGTTGATCTCCGCCACCTTGAGCGCCGTCTTCAGTATCTTCTCCGCCTCCATGATGGTCATGGCCTCCTCCTCGGCCAGCAGGATGTAGGCCGGGGCGCACTCGGCATTGATTTCCAGGGCATTGTGTGCGGATTTGATGCGCTGCATGGGATTCCGTTCACGCCAGGCCGTCTGCATTATTTCGTATTCCTCCTTGCGGGCATCGCCCTCGCAGGTGAAGAACGTCTGATGGTCCTGGGCGCTCAGGTTCATGTCGTAGTAGGTGAGCGGCTCCTTGCTGGTCGCCCAGAAGAAGCGCTGATACTCGGCACCGCGAAACAGATTCAGGGGGTTGCGCCACACTTTACACTCGGGCATCTGGGTGCCCGTGCTGGTGGTTGAATTGGCTCCCCCACCAGCGCCCGGTCCGCCACCTCCTGCGCCGCCGCCGCCACCACCATTACTGCTGCTGCTGGAACCACTGCTGCTGCTGCTGCCGCTGCCATTGCTGGAGTCCGATTGGGCATCGTTGCCATTGATCCACGGGCTGATGTGATTGATGGACACTTGCTCTGCCAATGCAAATGGATAAAATCAATTGTAGCCAGAGCTATGCTATGCCCGACCCCGAGCACTTACCAATAAAGGATGTTCCGTATTTGCGAAAGTACCACCACTCGAAGATCAGGATTAGACCCGATATGAGGCTGGAGGTGCCCGTGAGTGCCACATAGAACTTTGGCGTCAGTGTGCTGAGAAACATGGACGAGTCCCACATCCTGAGATGAGACACACTGCCACAAGCTTTTGGTTTGGTTTGGAAATTGTGTATGTGATGTTGTTGTTGCCTCCCGTTGCTGTTGCTGGGGCTGTTGCCGTTGCCGCCACGACCGAGACCGTTTCGTCGCCTCGAGTGCACTTCAAACCGTCTCCGAGGTGCAGTGGTTTTTGAGCTGAACAAATCGTTTACAAACAAATATAATATCCTCGCTTTATCCTTTCCTTGGATCCTGCAGACTTTTTTTCTATAAAGTATTCATCGGAGTGTCGCAGAGGGGGGGTGAGAGCGTTTAGTTTTTCGATAGCACCAAAAGAGAAATACCAACTACCGACAGGCAGTCTATCGATTGTTTTCATGCATCTCTAAAAAATGGCCGCTCGCTAGAAGATTTTTTTTTGTAACAAAATCGAAGCAAAACGGGTGTCAAGAAATAGCATAAACAGAGAAATAGCTGTAGTCAGTCCAGAGGCCATAGAAAATGATGGCACAGATGACAGGCGACAAATCGGAGGCCAAGGAGCCCTCCAAATCCGAGGATGCTGGGCCAAGCGCACGCGTCAAGGAAGAATCACAGACCAACATCGAAGCGGTGGAGGAGGTGGAGGCAGAAAAAAAAGCGGGCTCGGATCTGGGAAAAGTTACAGACCAGCTCGATGCAAACGGCCGCCTGAAGGAGGAGGAGGCAGCTCTGGACGAAATGAGTTCATTGGAGCTGGAAATTGCCGAAATGCACAACATACACCCCGCCGATCAAATGGAAAATGCAGTCGAGATTGCCTCTGACAGCAGTAGTGCGGAAAATGGCAGCCCCGTTGCAGGGGGCGCGGACGATTCCGCCCAATTGGGTGGCAAGGGGACAACACTGCTGGACAAGCGACAGGACAAGGCCAGAAAGGGGGAGACTAGCGAACAGGCTCTGGAGGAAGTGGATCTGATTGCCCTGCTAAAAGGCACGGATACCAATGAGGAAAAGTCGGCCATGGAGAAGACACTTTCCGAATTGGATAACGTGGATGTGGAAGTGACCATCGTGGGCGAGGGGCAATATCCAACCTTGGAAGTCGACGATGACGAAGACAGTGTGCCGGCAGCTACCGACGCAAAGACCTTCAAGTCGACCTTGTCCGCCAAATTGCTCAGTAAACCCTCCTCCTCCGCCTCCTCGTCGTCCTCTCTGTACAAAACCAAGCTCTCGCCCGAGCAGGCACGCGCCGTGGCCCTGGAGCAAATAGCCGATCTAAAGGCACACAAATCGCGACGCAAAGAGCTTGTGGCAAGTGTGCCGACTGTGGTCAAGCCCAAGGACATTGTGAGCACACTCAACGACGACTGGACCGACTGTGACTCCGACAGCGAAGCTCCAACTGTCGCTCCGGCTCCGGTCGTGGCCAAAAAGGTGACTGCGCCCCAGCTGAAGTCCATCAAGGTGGCGGCAAACAACAAGCACCTGATTCCCAATCAGCTTAAAGTAATCCTGAAGCCTGTAAGCCCCCGGACTGTAGCTGCCTCAACGAAACCCGTGCAGCGGGCCAAGGCTACAACACCCACAGAGCGTGTCGCCAGCGAGGCGCCTGCAGGTAGAGTACAGTGAAGATTTGTCCAAGGGAAACTATAATTTGGTGCTTAATATCTTGCAGGGGTCAAACGCAATCGTGTGCCGAAGATAATCTGGGATCCGGATGTGCCAGAGACGCAGAAATCGTTTGCCCAGTATGCCAGCTCCAAAGGAACAGCGACACCGCCACTGCCACCACCAGCAGCGGCTGGCGCTGGCCCATCAGCATCATCCAAGACTGCAAAACCGAGCGCCAGCAATGCGGCGGCTAGGAGTGTGCTCAAGAAGGAGGCGCGTCCAACAGCAGTGGCAATGATGCGAGCGGCAACGCCAGAGGTTCGAGCACCCGCCAAGCGTCGCTCCCAAACGCCAAGCGCAGCAATGATGCGTGCAGCAACGCCAGAGGTGAGGGCACCCGCCAAGCGTCGCTCACAAACGCCTAACGCAGGCCTGGCCAATGGCGGAGCTCAGAAAAAGAAGAAGGTTAGCGAGATTGATCGCCTGATGGGGGATGAGGGTGCGGCCAACATGATCCAGGCCGTGGAGCACGAGCAGCGTGAGCTGAGTGCCGGTGAAACGTCCAATAAGCCGCGTATGCGCAACCGGGCCATGACGGTAACCGGAAGGGTGAGTAGCACCCAGAACGTATTTTCTTGCAGTTATCACCTCTCGTTTCGTTTTCAGCCCGTCCAGCCTGCATCGCCGAAGAAGGAGACACCCACTCCTAGTGCACCAAAGACCAGCAAACGCGCCGCAGCTGGTGCCGCCGATGCCGCCACAACACCCGCCACTAAGACCAAGCCACTGGCCTCCGACTCGTGGGACTACGTCTACAAGGGACGCGTCGATGAAGAGTCCATGATTATGCGACGGCGTTCGAACAGCTCGTACTCGAGCAATGCGTCCGTGAGTCGTCTCTCGCTGGACAACAAAACGGGGGCCGTGCTCTCGGACGATGCGGCCGAGGCGAATGATCCCACGTTTAAGTTCCTGAAACCAGAGACAAAGGCGAACCAAAGAACTTCCACAGGCGGCGAGGAGGCGCACACCCTCACCAACGACATGAAGCGCAGTAGTGCCAGTGCCCCCCAGCCCAAGGAGGCAAAGACAACCACCGAACCGGTTGTCCTGCACAAGCTGGACAAGGTGGCGCATCTGGTGATCAATGTGCACCGCGGCAAGGCCGGCCACATCTACACCAGCCAGCTGCTGCAGAAGCTCAACGAGCAGCTCGTCGGCGTGGCCAAGAACTCACAGTACAACACAGTGCTGCTGACCGTGCAGGGAGCACACTACTGCCAGGGCATCGATTGCCAGGAGCTGGTGGTGGGCTCCGTTGAGAAGCGCAAGAACAGTGCCAGTCAGCTAATGCTGGCCCTCAAGTGAGTAGAATTTGTTAATCCTCCATGATCTGTGATTATTTTGTGTGTGTTGCAGAACATATCTACGTACACTGGCTACATTCCCAAAGCCTCTGGTGGCCGGCATTGTTGGCAATTTAAAGAATCTGGGCGTCATGCAATTGCCGCTACTCGACTATGTGGTGGCCGCTGATGATTGCTGCTTTGAGACCAACTATGCCAAGCTTGGACAGCTGCCCGAGGGCTATGCAGTCTTCCACAACCACCCAAAGGTGTCCAGTCAAGTGGTGCGTTAGAAATGCTCTATATTAATTGTTTTAAGTGGCTATAATTCCGTCTTTAACCATCAGCACTCGCGTTTGTTTCTGCTGGGCGAACGCTTGAATGCCGCAGAACTTTTGGGGCCACAGAGTTTCGTGGACAAGACTTGCCGGGCACGCAGCGTTGGGGAGGAAGCGCTGGCCGTAGCCAAATTAATATCCACAACAACGGCGGAGGTAAGTCAGTTATCGTTTACCATTAAACAATCTTTAATCCCACCATTCGCAGTCCTATCGCGCTCTGAAGAAGCTTAACCACTCGGCCATCAATTCGGCAAATCTGCCGCGCCTCGACGAAGAGCTCAAGTCCATAGCGGAGCAATGGGCAACCGGCAGTGTGCAGGGGAATTTGAAACGATACCTGAGTGACGTTAATTTGTAAGGCTACCAAAATGCTCTGGTAGCCCCCACACATTCGAGAATAATCAATTAAAGTCCACCTTTTATAGTTGATCTAAATTCGGATAGTAATTTTAAATTTTGAAATCCACCTTCAAATAAGTATATAAAAATACTGTACAAAAACATAACATAAAGAGAGAATATCTTAAATAAATGTGTCACCTATCATAAGAGTAATCAGTTGATAAGCAAATTGTCCAGCATCTGTAGAAACTTATACCATACAAACCCAATGTGTTTCGGTTGAATTTCCATTATAAAGACTAAATTGTTTTTTTTTAGCTCATTTAAATTTGTGTTCTAAGGTCGGAAATTATGACTTCCTCATTAAATATACCCTCCGATATATGCCCACAGATATATAATAGATGCCCTTAGTCTTCATACTTGCAGTAGACAATTAAAATCAGTTTTATGTTGTTTTTATCAGTTTATAAGTATCTATATTGGGGATGGATAATAGCTAGAAAAGGTTCTTCTACTTAATGTACAGTGTAATGTAATGTAATGCATGCAGCTAGTAATTAAACTACTAAGGTCTACGTTTGATGTATGCCCGGCCAGCAGCTAGCCTGTGGATGATGCTTAAATGCGCACGTTCCATCGTTTCGTTTCGGGCGGACCCTTGCCTAATTGTGGTTCTCGTCGTAGTAGGCAGGCAGCTCGGACTGAATACGCAGCAGGCGGACATATGTGACCAATTTCCATTCGCTTAGCGGCTGATCCTCGGCGTGCTCAAAGCTGGACATGTAGGTGACCAGCTCCTGTGAGCCATCCTGGTCCAGATCGGCTATCAGCATCGAGTGCTCCTGGTTGTTAATATCCGGCTGGCATACCATCTCGTTGCGCTCCTGGCGGCAGAACTGCTTAATGTTGCTCTGCGAGGTGTTCTCAATACGCGTATCGGCGCCCATGAACAGGACGAGAAGGACCGTTTCGGTGATCGTTTGCATTTTGTAGCTGCTGCCGCCGCTGCCGTTCACAGAGCTGGCCTTGGTCTGATTCTTGTAGGGCACGCCGTAGGCTTCACGCTTCTGTATCAAGTGCTCAAAGACATCAAACTGCTGGCTGGCCGGAGGGAATTCGTGACCAAATTCTTCGGCTTCGCTGCGTCTCAGACGCTGCTGCTGCTGCTGCTGATGCTGCTGCTTCTTGCCGTGTGCCGACTTCTCCTTGTCCTTGATGGAGTTCATGTTCTTGGTGTTGCCGCTGCCGGCATTGCCATTGCTCTTCTGCACATTGTTATTGCTGCTGTGTGCGGGCGATGGAGTTGTCTGGGATGGGAACTGGGACTGGGCCTGCTTCGGCACCTTGTTGCCGACATGCCACTTCCAGAACTTCATCACAAAGCCGGACATCTGGGTTTTGGTGTTCTTAAAGTGGTACTCAGCTGGCACCATGCCGTACATGGCCGTGTTTGTGAAATTCTTCAGCACATGCGCCTTCCCATCGCGCACCTCGCTTAAGACGAAGGTCACGTTGCAGTCGTCGGGGCATGTGCCCCGATTCTCGACCACCAGCTCGCGTCCGCTCAGCGAGTAAATGTTGCGCTGCGAGTCAATCTCCCGGCGCTGTCCGTGGTTGCGGTGCTGCGAGATCTTGGAGGCGGTCAGCAGGCGCTGTCCCACAATCGATTTGTTGGTTATCAGGGCATACAGCTCTGCCAGCGACTTGGAACGCTGCTGATCCGAGCTATTGGGTCGCAGACAGATGTAGCTGATATTGCCGGCCTCCAGCTGGAGGCTGCTCAGCCTCTGGCAGTCGTGGACACGGAAGCCATCGCCTATGGGCCTGCCGTGGCGCCCCGATAGCAGGCGGAGCACATTGCGCGCCTCCAGTTGGGCGGGCGCCTCGTGCTTGGGCTGGACAAGCGACTTGGTGCGCTGCTCCAGCGACAGGCTGGACACCAGCAATATGTCCAGCACGCCATCGCCATCCAGGTCGGGCAGAATGATGGGAAAGTCGTAGGCATCGATTTTGTGGGCCGAGCGCTCTTTGAAGCGCCAATGCCACTGTCCCGACACCGGATTAATGGCCCCCAACTCGCCGTACTCATCAATCACCAGACAGTCCGGCTTCCCATTCTTGTCCACATCGATCAGCGTGCAGTCCAGCGCCGCCGGTTCGTCCACCATCTCGTCGTACCAGGCCACAGCGCCAGAGCTGCCAATCAACGAGATGATGCCATTCCGCTTGTGATTGCCCGGCCGGAACTCCGGGAAGAAGGCATCGCCGCGGTACAAAAATATCAAATTATTCTCCCAGGCGCGCAGTCCATTGACCACATTGACGCCGCCCTTGAGCTCTATTTTGGTGTAGTTATTCAGCCAGTTGTGGGTCTTCACCCGATCGCCCACGGCTGGGCAGGCTCCGGTGCCGTCCGCATTGCCGCACGGCACCAGCCAGACGAAACCGAGCACCGCGAACAGGCACAGCAAGAGCGAGGCTATAAAGCAGCTGCGCCTGGCCGTGGACATGGGCGGGCGCTTGGGCTGCTCCGTGCTGCCGCCCAGAATGGCCACGTTATCCGCCGTGGCATCGAATTCGCTGTTGAAGTTGGAGAACTCGGCTCCCACACTGCCGCCGCCCAAGTCGCTGAGCATCACGGAGCGGAATGTGTTCTGCATGTTGGTGGTGTAGCTGCTCGTGGGCGTCTCCAGTTGGAACTTCTGGGGCTGTGGCTGTGGCTGGACCTGCGGTTTGCTCACAATACGTGTGGCTGTGGGTCGAGTGTGTGGTGACTTTAGCGCCAACGTATTTGGCGGAATGCGACTGCGTTGAGGCGTAGGCTGAGGTTGCTGCTGCTGGTGATGCTGCTGCTGTTGTCGTTGCTGTTCGATGTGGAATCGCTGGCGATGCTTGCTGGCGTTGTGAATTTCGATCTCTTCGTCGGATTCGGAGTCGGTCATGGCCTGACTTAGCGGCGCGTAGATGCCTTGGTGGGTGGTGCTGGTGGGCAGGGACTCCGTGTGCAGCATTTTAGCTGATTGAATGGAAAAAATCAATAAGTTTCAAGGGGCAACGCAAAGCTGCGACAGCGTCGACAGAAGGGGCAACTTCTCCGAATTACTGACCTCGCGAGCTGCTGACATCCACATAGCTACTATTTGTTCTATTTATATTAATATTATTATTATTATTTAAATTTATATCTTAATTCTTGCTAGATGTTCTTCCTGCTGTTAACAGCGTGACGTGACACGCCAAATAACTTACATTAACAGAGTTGACGTTAAATTCAAAACTGCTGTTAACTTTAATTGACAGAATAAATATACTTTTAAATACCGAAAATACCCAGGAAAATACCCGCTTTGCAGCGCAGTGCTGCAAAATGCGCATGGAGTTTATCGATAGGAATGTGACCAATGAACTGCCCATCACTACATGCAGCAAAAACAACAACAACAGCGTTTGTGGTTTACGTGCGTGAAAATTATTTAAGTTTTGATGAAAAAACAGTATTTAGGACATTGCAATAGCAATTCCAAGTGATCCGTATGCTGCGGCAAGGCACTGTGCAATCGGCAACCAAACGCGTGACAGGGCAGAACGGTGTGAATGGACAAAAGTGAAAACGTCTCGGCTGTCATAGGAAAACGGGTGCCAAAACGAAAAGAAAGAAAGAGCACGCTGCCAGAAAAGCACACAAGTAGTACAAGCACATACATACACGCAGTGCACTCGACGCCCCTCCCACACTCTTTAATTAGTTTGATTTTCCAGTAGTGAATAAATCCACATCCCAAACCCCCCCCACCGTGCGAGGCGTGCAATCCCAACCAAAACCAAACCCAATCACCACACACACACACACTTATACATACATAGAAATTGTGTATATTGCGTAGCAGAGAAACGCCAACGTCGACGGCAATCAGCCAGCAGCCACACCAACAACACCAGCTCCAAAACGCCAGCGGCAAGCCGCCCATATGTCCACCTACATGATGGCCAAAACGCTGGAGGAGCAGAGTCTACGCGAGTGCGAGCACTACATACAGACGCACGGCATCCAGCGCGTCCTCAAAGACTGCATCGTCCAGCTGTGTGTATGCCGACCCGAGAATCCCGTGCAGTTCCTGCGCCAGTACTTCCAGAAATTAGAGCGGGTGAGTCTCCCCATTCAGATCTAAGTACATATCGGAATAATTCTGCTTGATTGTGGGTGCGTGCCACTGTCTGCGCGAATATTATGGTTGGGGAGGCCTTTAAAGACTCCCCCCGGTAAGCATCAGCGGCGGTGTGGGTCGCAGGTGACACTTATTCAGATCCATTTTGAGTTGGTCGGTGGTTGTGTTGTTCACCAAAGCTATTGCTGCCTTAAGCATTCAGCCCTTGTACGCCTTTCAAATGCAACAAAAACACAACTTTCTGTACAGGGATCAGTGGCCAGAGGTCGTCACGTGCCTTCCACTGGGCTTCACTGCCTTTGGCTGCTTCCACTATCCTTTGAAACGTCTTAAACATCCTTTGCTGAAATCCCTTCCGGAGGCAGTCGATAAGTCCCAGATGAATTTCCTTTATCGATTGTCCTTCGTGTGACTTCTTCGATTGGGGGTTTTATTTACATTTTTACACCTGGTTTTGTCTGCGGACATTACTTGTCTTTATTTGCCGTTAAAAGTGGGCGTGTACTCACCCATAGAGCCAACTGCAAGCAGAGTCGCCCGAGAAAGGCCCGTCCCTAAGAAAGATGGAGTATGATTCTTGTGGATGCTTTTTCCTGGCCACAGATCATGGTAGTAGTCCATAAATAAAGGCTCTGTTCAATATTGATAGCAGATGCAGATGCATTTAGCAGCGCGACTGGGCTGATACTCCCAAAGAGAGTTTCGTTTGGGTGTGGTATGGCATTCCCCCATCCTTCAAACGAATACCAAAAGATCACTTTCTTTAATGGGCTGGAAAGTACTCAAAGAGACTGATGGGGAGGGCCATGTTTCCATGGTCAATCGGTTGGTTTGATTGACATTGGACCCTGGTGGGGCTATTAGTGACACGAGCACCAGTCTCCCGTATCCTTCCATGCGAAAGCAACAAGCAGTCGTGTGTTTGGGTTGGTCAACTGCCGCTCCGTATGAAAATCAATATCACCTCCGGTCTATTTTAGGATGCAAGGTGTTAAGGACACACACACACACATACGCCCCATCCTGTCCAACCGGTAGGGGGTGTGGGGGGCGTATTTTAAAGCACTTCCTTGGGGATGTGTGGGATAGACAGAGAGAGAGAGAGAGAGAGAGAGTCTTCAGCTGTGGACTAAATCCCAGGGGTAGTGCATCCTGCAGTTGGCCACAGCCTGAAAGCTTGTCCTTTCTGCAGAGAGCTGCTTGCAGTCGGACAATGCAATGAAGCGCGCGCTCTCTCCATGTGTCCATCTATCCCCCTCCCCCCTCCTCCCTCTCTGTCTCTCTCTCTCTCTCTCACTCTCTCTCGCTTCTTCTGTGTGTGTTTGTGTGGGAATTCTCTCGGGAACTGGCTGCTGCTGTTTTGCCTGTTGAATGCCCGAGCCCGATTTCAGTTCGATAAACATCCTGGCGCTGAGCAGAAGCAAACCAGAGGAAGCACCCGCCACCTGCAGAGTCCGTCGGAGGATTTGTTTTTTTGTTTACGTGCCTGCCTAATCTGTTGCTGTTGCTGTTGCGTCGCAATGGGCAACCAGCTGAGTGTGAACAGCATCCAGGATGCGGTCATGGATCGCCTGAGGTCGGTGGCTTTGACCACCGACGAGCACGGGGCAATGCGCATCCGTTCCTTTTCCGAGGGCGGCGTTGGCGGCACCGCGGGCCACCATCATCATCAGCACTGCAGCGGACGTGGTGGACGCATTTTGCGCGAGAGCAGCATCGATGGGGGCGTTGCTGTCTTCGATGCTTTGCTGCGCGACGAGCACGAGCATCGTCTCAGCCTGGATGCGATGCATCGGGTGCGTCATGTGCGCACCTCCTGCACTACGATTCCCGAGGAAGAAATCGTAAGTGATCCCCAAAATCTCCCGCCTTGCTCCTTTCTTCTCAATGAAATCCAAGGAATTGCGCTCTGGCCGTGTATGGTCCGCCTAAAAGCTCACGGGGGGGCTATTGCCCTTCCCACAGCGGTGCGAGAGCGTGCGCGTGAGAAAAAGCTTTGATTACAGTTATATCCTGCCTCTGTGGCGTCTCTGCTGTGCTTCTGCCTCGTATAACTGTAAATGAAGATGTCGTTAGCGGCGGTAGAACAAAACAAAAAACGCACTAACGACGACTCCGGTACCCTTTTTGGTAGGGCAGATTAAAGCAGATGTAGTGGAGTAAATTCTACAGAAATTTCTCATTAATTTGATTACAAAATTTTTGTATTTGTATTCCCATATATACAGCCGCACGAGGAGTTACATCCACTCCTTGCTTCTACGGCCCCAGCCGCCGCCTCGCAGGAAGTGGCATTAAATAAGAGCTAAACCAGCAGCGGAGTGCTACGACCCTGGCAAAAATTGCTAATATCTGGATAAAAGAGATCAAAGAGCGTTAAATTAATGTCTAAAATATATATAGTTTTTGAATAAACATATTTACGAAGCTATTTTCATGCGCATTTCGAGGGAAAAGTTAACAGAGAGGCGGCGGAGATGGGCAATGTGGTATACCCTCTCTAGCCTGCACTTTTGCAGGGTATCAAAAACTTACCTGACGCACACTGACGCACTTTACACTCCTACTATCTCTCTTGCTCCTACTCTCTGATCCCCTCTCTATCTCTTGCTTCTGCTCTCTCTCTCTCTCTGTTTGGGCAGCTTTTTTTTTTTTTGCAAGTTAATGTCGAATTTGCACTTGAAACTCGAAAGGAGGCAGTAAAACGAAATCAAAGCTGGCCTTCTGCTTCTCCCTTCTGCTCCTGCCGAAGCTTTTTGCCAGCCAGCCGCTGCGTCATAGCTGTATCTCTCTCACTCTGCCTGCCTGCCTGCCTCTCTTTGTGTGTGCGAAAACTTTACTTTTTGGCCATATGTATGTATGTATCTGGTATATTTGTATCCTTTATCTGTGCGTGCGTATTGGTGAAGGTCATCCTGTCGTCGTCGTTCTCGTTGTCGTCGTCGTCGCCGTTGTCGTCTCTCAGTCAGAGTCAGAGTGCTTGCCTCTTCGGTTGCGTGTGTGCTCCTGCCTCAGTTACTGTTGGGCCCATCGCCGCATCGCCGCCACAGTTGCCGCCTGTCGTCCATTGTCCTCGTTACTGTGTTACTGTTACATTTCTACCGTGTACCATTACCGTTACTGTAACCGTGTCTGTGTCTGGCTGCGCTACTTCTGTCGCTGATTGATTGCCTTTTGGGGCATGCCGGGCCTGAGCCTGATCATCGAATCGTTGACCACTTAATGGTCGTGTTTATAGCCGCGTTACGCGTCCCCCTCTCAGTGTTACGACCTGTCATCGGCTCGTCCCGGCTCGTCCGTGGTGTTTACGCCAGCCCCGAAAATTGTGGCAGACAAACGGCTTTACGACTTTATCGCCATTGACCGCCAAATTGGACCATAAAACAGACAACAAATCATAAAAAAGTGAAGAAAAACAACAGAGGAGAAACCCAAGGAAATCCAAGCGGATCACAGTCATGGTGGGTACACTGCAGGGATGGCTATGGGAGGCAGGGATTTTCCTTGAAAACTGAACCCAAAAATTTGATCTGATTTTTGTCTTTAATTGGGATACTTTTCGTTGATTTATAAGTAGGAAACTTCCTGGAATTCAATTGGATATTCAAATTGGGTATATTTATTTCTGTAAATAATTGGAGAGAGGTGTGTGGGAGGTTAGGTTCCTAGGCCACCTCCTGGTCAGGATTTCCGTAGACTTGTGCATAAATAAATCATTGTTTGGTTCGTGGGTGCAGGTTTCTGTTTTCATTTCGGGGAGGGGTTCCATTTATCGAGAACCGAAAAACTTTTATGTAAATAATACACTCGCCCCCTGAGCCGACACTGAGCCGTTTCGTTTCCATTGAATACCCAATTCCGAGTTGCTCCCTGGGAAAAACTTTCTGCCGCATACCCCGCATTCCGGCGTAGGTGTATCTCCGGCCGGATGTGGGGCGACCTTTTGTGTGCCCTCATCCATTAGACGGCTTATAAACGCCGCTTGCCTTCAGACCAGCCGAGTGGGCACATGAATAATTTGGCTAATAAGAAAATGGAGGGCCTCAAATCTCAGTCCTAAAGTGCAGGCAAACTTCAGACTGTGCAGGAAAACTTCAGGCTGTAGTTGGGAGGAAAAACTTTGGCATACTCCGATGAGCAACAGTTTTTTTAAGGAGCTTACATTTCTGCTTTTCCATAAGCGGATGTCTGCCTCGTTCTTTTACTATCTCTCAGTATCAAATTATTAATGTAAGAGGGAAAAATTATACTTTTTCATCAATAAAAATTAAGTATGTATGTATACAAAATATAGCATAAAAAGTAACGAATTAAATTAAAATAACTGCCCTACACACTGTTCAATGTACAGTCAATTCAAAAGAAGAAGAACGCCATTAAATTTAAGCGAGAATTTCACAGAGATAATCCTCTAAGAACTGAGGTCTATGAAGAGTGGTTTATACAGGGGAAAGGTGCCTTTAATTTTTGGCCCAACAAACCACATTTATCCTTTGGCCATCTGACGTCATGATGGGCATTCATCGAGCCAGTTGGAGGAGCCCTCGAACGTCGCTTCAGCTGTCAATTTGCTGGTTGGCGATGACAGCTGTGACAACGTTGGTCGTTGTCCCTTTCGCTTACTGCTGGACATTCGCTTACCAGTTGCCAAAAGCATAAATGAGCAGCGAAGGACCATCGAAGGGATAGTATAGATGCCAGTTATCGATATGGGGACGCCTTTGTGTCCCCAAAAATAATGTTTATGCAGGCTCTGGCAGCAACAACAGCAGCAGCTTACTGAGTAAATTATGGCTTTGAGGGGGTCTCCGCACCACCTCCCACCACAATGGTGGCAGGGGCAGGGAGCAGAGTTAGGGGACAGGAGGCAGTGTCAGGAGCAGAACAAAAAGTTCACTGAATTGGAAATTTCGCTGAACAAACTTTTGTGGATGGCCTGTAGCGCACGGGGACCGAACCGTTTTCTATGGGTCTTTTCC